AGACCGTGACAGCCCAAAACCCCTAGAAGCGGACGAGAAGACCGTGACAGCCCAAAACCCCCAGAAGGGGACGAGACCGTGACAGCCCAGAAGCGGACGAGACCGTGACAGCCCAAAACCCCTAGAAGCGGACGAGACCGTGACAGCCCAAAACCCCTAGAAGTGGAGAACGTGACAGCCCAAAACCCTTACAGAAGCGGACGAGACCGTGATTGCCGAAAAAAGCGGACGAGACCGTGACAGCCCAAAACCCCTAGAAGTGGAGAACGTCACAGCCTAAAACCCCTAGAAGCGGACGAGACCGTGACAGCCCAAAACCGGACCAGAGCGTGACAGCTCAAAAACCCCCAGAAGGGGACGAGACCGTGACAGCCCTAGACCCCTAGAAGCGGACGAGACCGTGACAGCCCAAAACCCCTAGAAGTGGAGAACGTCACAGCCTAAAACCCCTAGAAGCGGACGAGACCGTGACAGCCCAAAACCGGACCAGAGCGTGACAGCTCAAAAACCCCCAGCAGGGGACGAGACCGTGACAGCCCTAGACCCCTAGAAGCGGACGAGACCGTGACAGCCCAAAACCCCTAGAAGCGGACGAGACCGTGACGGTGCGCGTCCACAAGTGACCCGCGTGGAGGCGGGCACAAGTGACCCAGGCGAGGTGGTCACAAGTGACCAGTATGCCGCCTGTCGGTCGCTTTGCATCTGCAACCGTCTAAGCTAGAGGATGGCTTTCTCGAGTTCTGGTGTTCATTTCCAAGGTTCTTTGCTGGTGACATCTGGCACTGCAGCCTGCAGTTCAGAAGACCGGCGATGCGGCGGGATTGCTGTGTAAATGGCAATGTGAGGCAATGACTCAGATTCGGCTCAGATGTCAGGCTTTCGCTTTCCGGTCGCAACGTTCGTTGACAATCTGCCGACATTCAGAAGACGCGGCCAAACAAACCGCCGCAGCAGCTTAGTCTTATGATTAACACATGTGAGTTGTCATGACATGGTCTCACTGTGTCACTGGTGAACTCTAGCCCTTTTGCGTGCATGTTGGAGAATCGAAACGTTGCGGCATTCTGGGAATGCGGTTCTTGGGCCTCGCCTACCATGCGGGTGCGAAAGTTGTATTTTGCTTTTTTGTGCCAGCCACCCCAGAAAGAAAATCCTAACTTCCGGCCCTGGGGACGCTTCACTTAACATCCCCAGCAGAGCGGCTAGGGCCTTGCTGAAGCCCTCAGTAGTCCGGAAGCCCCTTAACTCTCAATCCAAAACCCCAAGGCCCCCGATTCCTGATCTCTCCAAAGCCACAAACCACGGAGAGCGCCGAAAGTCCGAGAATTCAATGAAAAGCTCTTAGAAACCTTTTAACAAGCGAAGAGATGGCTGTCTGGAAGCAGCCATCCCAAGCCTCTTGAACTGGCTGTCGATGGTCAAGCAGCTTGCTGAAGCCGTCCCTGAAGCATTCGGAAGCATTCGGAAGCTTCCGGAATCTCGAAGTTTCGGAAAGTTCGGGCTTTAAGGGCCTTCCATGCCCCCTCTGGAGCCCCGCCTGGTGGTGTAGTGAAACAACACCAAAGAACGGCAATCTGGCCGAGCAGACCTCAGGTCCAACGCCTGAAGCAGGCTGAAGACTACTTCAGGAGTAAGCAAAAGTATGGCCTGCTACAATCTACAGGTGGCACTGTCCATTGTTTAAGCTTGCACATGGCTGCTGCAGAGTCAGAGGGAAGGCTTAGACACAAGGCCTTAACACTCTACAAAATTCTACTTTTGACTTTGCCAGGTTCTCAGTAGATCTCCTGCCTCAGACCACACACGAATACCAGTTGCCAGGTGCTGGAACACGGTCACATGCCTCTCCTTGGTGCTGGCAGAGTGAAGCAACAGGAAGCTTGGACCATTGGACAACAAGCCTGGAGCTCACAGGCTAGTGTGCTAAGAAACGCTTTGTTTTTTTTGCAAGCCGATGAGGCCAAACGTTTACATATTTGCATGGCTCTCCACACCCGGTACGTCGCGGATTAATTTGGTTGCTTTGACCAGGTTCCACCATTGCCCTCATACGGCACACTTCATCACACTGACCACTCCGATTCTGACTTGCGGAAAAGGCTTTCGACCATTCACGCGGGTATACGCGCTTCGAAAGTGGGGTGAAAAAAAACCGCTCTCCATTTCCAGACCTGGTTTTCATGTGGCAGGTCTGGTTTTACTGAGGGCGGCGCGGGGAGGAGGAGAGGGAGAAAGGAAGCAACAGCTGCATGAGAATCAGATTCGGGACTCGAAACTGCTTTATCTTCTCCAGCTGCCTTTGCAGAAGATTGCCCCGACCTCAAACCTGACCTTTTTGGTGTGTAGGAAGCAGGACGAGGAAGTGGTGCAGGTATCAAACAAGGGAGCCGAGTCCGACCCAAGGACGTCGGAGTTCGACTCTTAGACTCTTGCTTCTCGGCAGGGAGATAAATCCCCCACGGCCAGTTTGAGGGCTTGAAGCTGACTTTCGGCATGTGCCCTGCTGGAGATCCCTAGGGTTTAGAGCTGAAGGTTTGGTAAACGGGCGGAGACAAACTCCGGCTTGCAATGAGCGTCAGTGTCGGTCCACAAACCGAGTGCTTCAGACGCTTCAAGCACATGTGGCCGGGCGCATTCCCCGGGAGCGAGCGAAGCGGAGTTGAGTTTGGCACATCCTTCCGTTTGAACTACTTGCCTCCTTGCCTCTGTTGCTCAGACGCAAAAGAGATGCAAAAAGACGATATGAGCAAAGTCTCCAAGGAGTGATCAATGATCTCCTCCAGGATGTTGACATACTCACCTGGAGTGGGCGCTTTCACACAAGTGGCGCACTGTGACTAGCAGAACCTTTGAGAAGACGCTCGCTCCTGCAGCTATCACAGCGTCTCATGGCCAGCACTAACGGTGCTTCCTCTCGGACTAGAGTTGGATCTCAGGTGCTAGAATAGTTCGGCCTTGCGGACAAACAAACGGGCACTTCTCCAATGTCCGCACCATACAGCAGCGTGCACAAAATACATCAAAATACTAACGTCACACTTTGCCCCAGCAGCACAGCGATGCCATCAAAGTCAACGCCACCTCGACTTTCGTCGAAGACCTCGCCATGGAGGTAGGGTTCACCAAAATAGGTGGAGAGCACTGGACCTCGGATGCTCATGTGAGAGGTTGACTGGCAACAAAGTCGGCGACGGGACCACGGGGCTGTTCTCAGGGTTCCATGCAATTGATCCGAAAAGTTAACCCCGACCATATCTCACGACAACAGTGGAGCTGTTGGTGGCCCAGAAATCCTCATCACGTAGCAAGCGGTAAAAAATGGCAAACCGCCCACACCCAAGATACATTGATGACCTCAACTTGTCGGATGTGAAGTAAAAATGAAAAGCGACATGCAACAAACTCAGTGATACGTCGAGCAGACGACTGCAAGATGAACAACAACTAGGCCGCGATCCTGCAGACGGCTTGAGAACCGTCAAGCCCCGGCAGCGGGGTGCTCTGCCTGGGCAATGTGAAAATTGAAAGCACACCCTGACTTCTTCTCCGTTAGCAGTTGGGAGACCATGGGAGCTGTTATTGCACCGTGAACACGAACTGTTCCGCCGACAACACAGACTTGCACTCCAAAACCACACCACTGAAGTAATGACTTGTGATAGACTCGACACAACGCCCAGCCAGCCCCCATGCAGGTGAGGTTGAGCCATGCACACCACTACACTATATGCTGAGACCAAGCATACGGGGCTTGGGGCATCGGGCGATCTTCAAGCCTTAAAGCTCTGCCAAGCGACCTGCACGATCGCTATCTTTGCGCGGAACTGCATTGGCAGCGCCCATAGCCCGTCATGCCAAGCAGCTTCAAGCACACACAAGCACCATGGACGATTCAGTTTGCTGTACCTGCCTCCTAATACATGCATGCATTTGCATGTCGGCTGAAAAGGCTCAGACGCCGAGATTGACACCACAATACACCACAGGAAACCCTAGCGGCAACCCCCATTGCTTGGCGAGAGCGCAGCACGAAGGTTCCAGCTGAAGAGCTTAGATTCTCCTTGCGGCAGTCTTATGGCCAAAGCCCAACCTTGGTGACTTCTTGGAGGCGTGCAGGGGAAGTCGACCAGACCAAGCATAGAAAGAGTATAGATGGATATAAAAAGCATAAGCCACGAAAGTTTGACCAAAGATCGCTTGTTTGAGGAAGCTTCAACGAGTGTCTTCACTTCCCTCCAAAGTGTTTCGCAACAGGGCCAAGCACAACAGCTGTCAAATGTCGTCAGCACGCGCGGGCAACACATGCGGGCAGCACGCCCGCGCAATTGCGGCTGACAAGTCTGCAACGAATCTGCAGCAAGATGGTGTGAGGCGAAGCTCAAGTCACACACGAATCATGAACGGAAAACGACACCTCCGTCTTTGTCTCATATAGAAAGATCTTGGCCGGAAACTTGCCTCACGAACACAAGCATGTTCCCAGAATCTTTGGTCCAAGGGAACAGTGGTAGCTCTGGAGTTTAACTCGCCGAGCTCGCCAAAAGTCATGTTGGGCCAATCTTCTTTATGAAGTTTGGCCGATGCGAAACGAGAGAGGGGAGGGAGAGTGAGTGGGGGTGAGGGAGAGAGAGCGAGGCAGAGTGTGGGGACTGCTGGCGCAATTTCCATTCAAAACGGGTGTGTCAACAGTCCGTGGCCCATAGTACAAACATTCGTCAGCACATGTGTGAGGCCAGCCTCCTGACACAGCATCAAAATTTGCGGGCTGTGGCTACAAACCTACGCGTCCCGCAAAGACTTAAAAGATCCAAAAGCCGATCCGCCATGCGAGCAGAGACCTAAGCGGCAGAAACTGCATCCGCACCAGTTGTTGCTCTTCAGCTCTTTAGGACGCCTAGCCGCACTCCCTCCGTTGTTCACGCCTTCAGGTAGGCGATGGCTGATGACAGCATCCACTCCGGGACCACAGTACCCACCCGAAGCATTGAGGCAGCGGCCGATCAGTTCACTGCTCCAGGAAGCGGCGTTTCCTTTTCTTTCAGTGGTTCTATCTCAGGTGTGGTGACTTATTGTCATTGCCGGCCACATGATGTCACAGAATGGCCCGGCTACTGGCCCTACCATGTATCACACAAAGATAAAATAGAGCACGAAACTAGAAACACACACACACACACACACACACACACACACACACACGTGTACACTGTGTACGGGAAGTGGCCTCGGCATTCTGGTCCTGGGAGACAGCCTGCTAAGCAAACAACAGCAAAGGAAACGCTCCGCGGACTTCCACAGACAGCAAACCTCACCACATACAGCTGTAAGCAGCTGAGCGGCGAGCCGGGTGCAGTCCAACAACAGTAGCCATTAAGACCGTGCTCATATTTCAACAGATATACTTAGCACACGGAGAAAAGAATCGCCTCCTTAATGCCCTTTTCAGCACCGTCGTTGTGGATGGTCTGACAAAAAGATACGAATGCAGCTCACACAATGCTTTGGAGTATTTGCGCCGCATGCATGTGAAAAGCGGCTGCATCGATCTGCCTCCTCTACCGCAATTTTGGCATGCTCCTTGGGCATGGCCTGCCACTCATACTCAGACTGCCGAACACTGTGCTGGGCAAGCATGCGACCTCCTCCTCAACTTTCTGATCTTCGGGTGCATCCTGCCGGAAGATGAAAAGACAGCGAATTCGCTAACAGGCTTCGGAAGCAGGCAACGAGAAGGTCTACAGAGGGCTGCAAGTAGCTAAGTAGCTTCGCCTCCTCAACAGCCTTCGCGGCTGTCTCGAGGACAGTCTGGCCGCAGAGGTGAGGGTTGCCATCATTGGAGTATAAGGTGAACTCATTCAATGTAGCGCACAGATCTGCCTCCTCGACCATTTCCTTGGCATCCTCCTTCGGCACTGCCTGCCGAGCAGAACTTGCATCCAAGCTATTGCAACCGAGTTGCCTTTCGTGCTTTTTTTCTCAGAAACTTTGGCGTATCAGCAGATAGCTTGTATTGGTATGCGGGTCCAAAATCAGGCCCGAGAAAAGCATGAAAGCCAGTGTGAGTATTCTGAATGCAGCCTGAATCCTGAACCTTCAGAACTAGTAAGGTTGCGCACAAAGTAAGGCTGCACAGGCTACAAGATGTCTACAAGTGCCAGAGTCTGAGCCTGAGCCCAAGCTATATTATTGGTTCTTTCTGTCATCACCAATTGAACAACGCTGAAGGAAACATTCCACTTTCGGCTGGCTACCTCCTGTCGTTTCCGCGTGGTCTCCGGATTTCAGAACACTCGTTGCTGGCTACATGGCCTGGCTACATGGCCTCGCTTCCTGTATTTCTTCTGTGTGCACATTTGCCATGCATCTGACCTGCAACCGCCTATTCCCTCTGCTCCGCTGACAGATCGCAAGCATGCGACTCCTCCTCGGCAACTTTCTGATCCTCGGGTGCATCCTTCGCAGCAAATGAAAAGACAATTGATTCACTGATAGGCTTCGGAAGCACGCAAAGAAGATCTACAGAGCTGCAAGTAGCTTCGCCTCCTCAACAGCCTTCTCGGCATCCTCTTGGCAAGCTACAAGCTTCTGACAAGATCCGACGACTGTCTGAAATAAGAGCAGTGCATGAGAAAATGCCGGCGAGCTGACCGTGAAACGACCGTGACAGGCGTGACAGGGCTCAGTACACAGACCACGCCTTACCATAGAGCGAGCGCAGTCTCGCTAGCTCCGTCTTCGCCTGCACCCATGTAAGTTCACTTGCGAGCAACTGCGAGTAAAGAAGCCAACACAGAAAAACCAGCAGAAAAGGCCATTTGGCACAGTTGGGGCATGTTGGGTATTGTATGGGGTCGCCTCCTCTGCTTCCTGTGCTTTGGCTGCGAGCGCTTTGCGCCTGGTTGACCGGTCATCGAAGTCACTGTTGTTCCGGCGCGTGCCATGCTAAATGCCATGCTGAATGCCACGCCGAATGCCGTTTGAGTGCCATGTGAATGCCATTTGCATGCCACACGCAAGCCCCCCGCAGCTCGTCCATGGCAGCATCTTGCCCACCCTTGCAAAAGAGCTCAAGATAGCTCAAAGAGACACAGGAGGATGCCGGAAGATGCACTTTCTCGTGTTGATCTGAGCGTTCGCACCGTTTTCACAAGCTTCAAAGCAGCTTTTGCCTGCACCGCACGATGCAAGTGGCTCACGAATGATGCACGAGAGCGTGTCTGTGCACACAACGTGTGGGCTCTTGCGACACAGCTTGAGTTCAGGCCTCTTGTTCGGCAATACGGGCTGCCTGGCATGAAAAACTCAAGTCGGAAAAATGCTGCAGTCATGTCGGGATCCAGACACTGCACACAGTTGGTGAAGGCGATGCCCGCTGCACTCACGCTGCGCAGACGGCAGTACATGGATCTGAGACTGATCTGAGCACTCTCCTCTGAGTCCGGTGGGATGCATGAGGAAGACCGCAAGTAGCAATAACATCTCGACTTGACTTCGTCCGGACAGGGCGACTGATCATGACTGATCATCTCGCTGTTCTCTGGAACCTGGTTCCGTTGACGATAGATGCTGAGCATTCTGGCTCCAAAAGGGTGCCCGAAGAACTTGGAAGAATTTGCGTGTTCTCTCATCCGCAGGGCTGGCTTGCATGAGGATGGAGAGCGTTCTCGGGCCCAGATCCGGCTGCGCCGTTATATAGGGCCTCTTTGCTGCCTGTTTCAGAGAGCGGGTTGCCGAAGTGACGCCAGCAATTGGCTCACAAACTGTCAAGATAATTTACTTGCTTGTTTTGGAGGTGCGCTACTGCCAAGTTGCACTGCTGCACTTGCAACACTGCTGCACGCAAAGCCGATCGAAGCCGCCTGCTCTGCATTCCGTGCAGCCTGGCATGAAGCAGAGCAGAGAACAGGCCAGAACACACGAACACACTACTTCTTGCACCACACGAAGGGCATCGGTACACATCGGTGGTCATGGCCGCGCCTGGGCCTCCAAGCGGAACTTTTCTGCATTCTCCTGGCAACCGCAAATTGACAATCGTGGAGTTGAGACAAATTGTCGTGGTGGTCTTTCTTCGCGGGGTTGATTCGGTGCAAGCACAAAGTTTGACAGATCGACTGGTGGGGATAGGCACTCAGCTTTCACTGGTTTGTGGCACACACCGGCTCAACACAAATCATTCAGCATGCTGTGGCAAGGTTAGCAGTCTGGCTTGCGCTGAGGGTTTGGAGAATTGGAGATTGCAGTCTCTGAGAAGGCTGTCTGATCCCTCTTTCATTCTCGCTGAACATGTTGTTCGACAGGATTGGTTGGTTTGGAGCCTTGAGTCTAGGATGTCTCGGGCGTTCACGGCCCCAAGGCGAAAGCTTGGCCTCGAGGCTCGAAGATGCTTGAAGCATATGTCAGCATTTCAGATCATTTCAGAGATCTTCAGATTTTTCGCTCCAGATTCTGCCTTTGCTTTTCCAGCGCGAAGCGACGCGCGACGCGAAGCGATGCGAGATGGCTTGCGGCCCACGGCCCTCGAGACGTGCACGTGGCACAACCTGCATGTGGCACGAGGCTGTTCTTACTGCATCCCTCGGCCTCAGCTTCCAAGGCCAATCTTCTCTCCACTTCCACCTGTGCCTCACGTGGATCTACGGCTGTTGAACTGCTGCCTTGCTGCCTTGCGCGGCTTCAAGAGAGAATACACAAGGACTAAGCGAAGACAATCTTCCAAAATAGTCCTCTTCTGCCTTGGCTGCGGAGCATTCGGCCGTCAGCTCTTGACGGACACTCTGCAGCGACGCCTCAACGGAGCTCGGGCATGCTGTCACAATCTCCTTTGGACTCTCCTTTGGACTTTCAGGCTGCTTGGGATCTTTGGGTATGCGAGGAAAAGCGGGCCTTGGACTTCTCGGTCAACTGCTGCGCCGCCTCCACTTCGTTTTGGCCTTTGGTGCCATGGCGTGAAGGGCTGATCTGGACAGGATCCCGCGGACAAAGCCCCAAAAAGAGTCCAGGAGCGCGGCGTGATTTCGCAATCGACTCTGCAAGGTCGGCGCGGGACTTCTCAGACTCGACCTGGTGATCATTTTGACAAGATATGGTCGGAGTCAGATAGAGATAAGAGGAGCCCGAGAGAACGTGAATGCAGCAATGCACGAGCCTCCAATTCCTTGGTGGCCAACCTTAGGCTCCGCATGCAAAAGGCACCTCTGCATCACACCAAGCTCTCTCAAAGTCAGACTGCTCGATGTTCGTTTCGTTCCCACTTGTGCTAAAGGAGGCATCCGAGTTTTCACGGCTGCTGCGCCATGTATTCTCACCGATTCATGGGGGTTGCTATGGGTTGCTTGTGCCATGAAGCATGCAGCATTGGCTTCGAATTCGCTGCTTTGCTTTCTGAAGCTCATCGACAGTGCTGCCCTTTGAGGACACCCATTGGATCCTTTTGGCACCGTGAAGCCCCACGTCGCGTCTGTTGGAGGGAGGCACAAGCGAAAAAACAAGCAGGCAAAATGCGGCGTTCCAGGTGTGGGATCCGACTGATCCGACAGCATTCCCTGAATTGGGAACCCTGAAACGGAAAGCTCGACTGTGTTCGAGCACCATAGTCAAGGAGGGTGTCACCCTGCATCCTCTCAGAGCCAAAACGAAGATTCTCTCATGAAGCCATATTAAGCCGCCAGTCGGGATCGCCCCTATCGTTCTGGCGTAAGTTGCTTCGAGGGTGTCGTATGATTGCAGTGCCACAAAAGCTTCGTCCTCGATGCCTTGACACACTCAGCTTCTGTGCAATGGCAAACCCATGGATCCCCCCCACGCCCCCATGTCAACTTTTTCTCGTACACTGGGGACAGGACCTTTTCTTGAAGGTTCGCCCAAGCTTTCCGCGATTTAGGCACAATCAGGGGCCGATGTGACAACGGAGGCCAGGTGAGCACCCATCACTGGGAAAGTCGCTGTTCACTGGACGACTGGGTGGCCGACGTAGCTTCCTGCCTTGCTCCAATTCGCAAATGTCAGACAAGCTATGTGCATGTCATGCGGCAGAAAAGCAAAGCAATGCAAAGCAAAGGTGACGACGTCGTGCAGGTGGCGTGTAGATCCTCGATAGCCTGCCATGAAGGCTACCCAGTGGCATTCGCACCACAATAAACTTTCAAGAAACCATGCTCAGGCCTTCTTGTGCTCAGCAATCTCTGCGGCTGCTTGCTGCCGGACCTGGAGATATCATGTGGAAGTGAAAAGTGTCTCGTGTGTGTGTGTGTGTCAAAATTTGGCTGCCTAAGGGTGCCAAGGACATCCAAGGACCACGCTGATTCGAAAGCTTGCTCGGCATCCTTTGCACCAGTCTTTGCCTGGACAAGCAGACCTTCCTACAATCGCACTTCCCTGCAACTTCACCAGCAATTGCACAAGCAACTGCATAGACAACACAAGCAATGCCATGCTGTCCGGAGGGACGGCTTGTGCAACGCAACTGGCCTGGTCCAGCTGTTGCTTGTGGTCCTCGAGGGCACCTTGATCTGCAGTCTCCAATGGGTGGGGGCCACTCGGCATGTGGCATGTGGCTGTCGCGAAGCCGCACGCTTCCATACTCGGCCGGGGCCCGAGCTTTCCGCATCCTGTCCAAAGTAGGGCATTTGTTTGTCCAATTGTACGCAAGTTGGATCAAGGATTCCAGCTTTTCAGCCGTCACATTCATTTCTTCTGTCTAGCAATCGGCCTGAGGGAGACAGCCCATTCAAGCGTTCAGGTTCCCGTCTTCTGTTTTTGCAATGGAGTTATAAGATGGCTGCTACCCCTGTGATTCGGCCAGAAGGCCACATCCCTATTGCCTCCCGCCAACTACTGTGATTGTTCAGCACCAACTGGCCCTCCAATTTGCTTTACATGGACCGACCGTCGGACAAATCACCCGCCGAATGTGGATTGACAAACCGACGGAACGAGGGTTGATGCACCCAGTTGGCACACAAGCCAGCAAAACACCAGAACCCCAAAACATGGGATTTGGTACTCGAGGGGGACTTTGCAGAGGGAATTCTCTCGGTGGGAGAGTGGCGAGGAGAATAGCTGAGTTAAAACCCAACAAGCACTCAAGAAGCCCATGCCGTGGGCAGAAAAAGCAAGAACATACCGTGGGCAGAAAAGCAAAAAACAACACGAACACAAAACAACCCACCCCCCTCCATTCAACTTTCAGGGATACAAACCTTCAGAAGTCTGCTTCAAAAGAGGATTCGAGAAGGTGGGTTGTGAGTGTGTGTGTGTGTGTCGAAATTGAAGAAGCTGCAGGTGCAAATGCGGCTCTATACTCCATACCTCCCACTCGCTCTTGCACAAAACACACAGCGCAACTGCTGACTGCGAAAGCAGGCCTGCGCACGCTTGGAGTGGTCTTCTGCCGATTGCTTGTGCTGTGCCATGTCTTGTTCCATGGTGGAAAGGTCTTGCTTCAGCTTGGCATTCTCTTCCTCCGACTCCGTCAAGGCCTTCTTTGTGCTGTCCAGGTCACTGCTCGCTTGTGCCAATTGCGCAGCTTTCTGTGCGACCTTCGCAGGCAGCAACTCCTAGAAGGCGGGCTCCATTGCTCCATTATGCATGCGCGCCTCTTCTTGGGCAGCTGTTAAGGTCGCCTTGATCTCGGTCAATTCTGCATTGGCAGAACCAAGATCCTGTCTCTACCATGAGTTGCCAAAGCTCAGGGACTTCTGACATGAGGTTTCCTTTTCCAGTTGCTTCGAGGCAGTGTCGGCAGCCGTGGCAGCAGCCTTCGACTCCTCCGACTTCTTCTTTCATCAAAAACTGACAGCACTAAACCCTTGCAGAAAGAGGCGGGGCCTCGAGGCAGGAGCCTCGTGTCCCGCAATGCTGCGCAAGGTTTGCTTCACTCTCCACAGAAGACTTCAGAAGCGCTTGGCTGCCGGCGAAGCTCCTTTTCGGATGCCTCAAGTTCGCCTGCCTTCTGCCTGCAACAGTTTGAAACGCAAACTAGCTACACCACACCACATTTCACCACGTCTCAGAACCACTCAATATGCATCTCAATATGCATCTCAGCACCTTTCAGTCTCAAGCTGCTGCTGTGATGTGGCCGCCTGACATGTCCACGTGCTCAAGACGTGTCAGTTCCGCAACGTCTGTGTCATGACAGAAGCCTCAATTCCTCTGAAAAGCACCTAAACACCTCACATCTTGTCTATACTTCACCCGGACCTTCCTCTCTTAAGTGCTCCAGTGCCGTGTGTTCTTTTGACATTCGAGAAAGGCACCTGTACCAAAGCAAAAGAATCAAGCTGGTTGAAGAACACGGACTACTGTACCTGCACTGATCCGAAACCCCGAAGCTTGCCTAGTAGCAGCCGAACAGAAAATGACATCAAAAGCCAGAATTCCTTATAAAGTTCTACTATGGGAAATTCAACCACTCTGTAAATACATCGCGGCCTTCGCTTTCAGCTCCTCAAGCTCCTTTGAGAGCTTGCTGACGGACTCTTCAGCACGGTCGGCACGATTCTTCTCAGCCTGGGGATTGTGCATGTGGACACGAAGCAGATCGAAGCACCTAGCGCAGATTTGTCTCAAGATGAAGCTCGAAGCTTCGGCATGAAATTCGGCGCCTCTGCGTTGATGTCCACCTTCCGCTGCAGAGACAACGTGCGGCTCTCAACAGCTCTCCAATTTGCACAAAAATCCAGGTCCAGCCATGCCCAGCCTTGGACATGGCCTGATGGTACATCGTCTGCGCTTGCTGTGCGGCTGCCTGCAACGCTAGATGCCGGGCTAAGATGGCTCCAAGGGACAGTAGACCACACTGACTACACTGACTACACTGACTACAGTTCCATGCGGTCTGGAGGGCATAGCATAGCCTGTGCAGATTGTGACTCCTCCTGACTTCTCGTCAAGCCAGCCTGAGCATGCTCAAGGCCTTGGCGGTGAGCAAGTCAGGGGAATGTCGCTCCACAAAAAAAGTACACCGAAATCAAGAGGCAATTCAACATCAGAGACTGGCACGTTCACGCAAGGTGGCAATCTCTGCATGTGCAATGGCAAGCTTGTTGTCGCGCTCATTCAAAGTGGCCTAGGTACAAACCCCGCATGGCCGCTGTGCTGTTGCCTGATGCTGTCACCTGAAACTCAACTCCAAAGCATCGCCTTTGAATCTCCAGAAGACACGCCAGGGGTCGGACGACCAAGCTGCCTGAGTTGGATTCGTCCTGTTATTCAGTTATTCAATGGTTCAAGTCTTACCCACAGGTTTGGAGAATTTGGAGGCCCACTAGCAGACTCAGATCAAGGCAACAAGAAAATCAAGGGAAGAAGGGCAGGGAACGAAGATGCCTTCTTCATCTGCATGGTCAACTCTTCAAGCGCTTGGTGGGCAGATTCAGCCTGCAGTTCGTTCTGTTTCCACAATGAGCGCAGGAATCAAAGGCCTGCAAACAACACAGCGCCTGACGCAAAAAAAACAGAACAAAGTCCCAGTCTGAGTGCACAAGCGCTGTCTCGCGCGCAGAATCTGTGCTTGGAAGGCACAAACGCACACAACTCCCCATTGAAAGATCAGAATTGTTCGTGAGTGTTTCATCACCATTGCTCCGTGTTGGTCGAAATCTGCCAGCATCAGGCTGCCTGTCAGCGTAAGGGATGAGTTCGGATGAGTTTTGGGCCCAAGTCGCTTCCTCGGATCTTGTATTGCCCATTTTGTCTCACCTTTGAACCGACGTGGACCCTACCAGCCGATGGTCCAAAAAAGGGTGCGCCGGATTGATGTGCTCATTACGGCTCATGCACAGCCCTGCCCATGGCAGGCAACGGCAGGGCTCTTGGCCTCATGTTACGCTACAGTGTGCAACAATGAGGGTTTGCACTTTAGGCTTTTTACGGATGCTTTTGCATTCGCACTGCGTGCGTCGAATCTCAAACAGAGTGCAGGCAACTTGTGGCCTCGAGTCATATCGCGCTCTTGCCTAGGCCCCGTGCACATTCCGTGCCAATCGTGCTCTTGAGGCAGGTAATGATTATCACCATGTCACATGGACGTGAAAGTTGGATGCAGAACTTCTGCCAGTCAAAGCGATGGCCCATGGCATTGACCACATCAGCTCTGTTGGCCATGACGTTGGCATTACCATTACTTGGTGATTGGTCGGGCCCGCTCATGGTTTTCGCTTTTGGGCTTGTTGCAGATGACTCTCTCCAGCTTGTGCCTCTCTACTTCGTGAGATGCGGTCATGGCTTGTCAGTTGAGGGAGCGGAGACTTCTGCCCTTGACCACGACTGCATTGGAAGCAGCCACCTCTTCGTCGGACTTAGCCAGAAACCGTGACTTTGGTTTTGGGCCCAGGGGCAAAATCGCGTGATCACGTGCGGAAAACCCCTGGCCCTTCCCGCGCTCACTCACGAGGTATGGAGAATTCTGCCAAAGAGGTTGCCAGGGCCGGTTTATGTAGGTCTTCCAATGAGAGCCAAGCCAAACTCCTGCACACCTGAGGGCTGCGTTTTCAGCACTGCGCCGCACGCTCAAGGATGCGACGTGGTGCGACGTGGTCCGACGTGGTGCGACATGGTGCGACATGGTGCGACGAAGAAGGGGCAAATTCAAAACATTTCACAGCATTTGTGGGGGACGGAGGGGAACGAAAGCTGTTTAGTTCGGTTGCTGCGGGAGCCACCTTTTTTGACCGAGCAGATCGTCAAGGCAAGTTTTGGGTACCGTTTCGGATCCCCCCATTTTGACCACCTCTGGATGGAGCACCCCCCCCCCTACCCCTGTTCAACCTACGGTTGGGAAAAGACTCCGCTAGCTCCACTGGGGCTATCTCTCGTGACTTGAAAACATTTCAAAACTCTGTTTCGGAGCCGTGGTGCTGCACCGGGAGCAGTCAGCTCGAAGTCTTTGCTCTCTCTCGCGTCCGATGTCACTGAGATGCTGAGAACCAGCAGGCAAGGACCCGTGCAGAGCTCGAAGCGCTGACATCTCCGGGAGAGCGAGCGAAACTTCGAACAGGTTGCTGAACGTTTGAAATGGGTTTAAAACGGCGCAGTGAAGAAGTGGGCTCGGAAAGTTTGTGCGGCGAGTGCTTCTGTTCGGAAAACGCTTTCGGATGAACGAGGAGGGGGAGCCAAGCAAACAGCCCTGGAACGGGGCCTTTCCGGCCCATCTGGAATGTTGAAACTTTCCAGAACTATGCGCAACTCCGGTCACACCGTCCCAAGCCGTCATGCCTCCTTCCTCTGCTGTGCTGCTTCTTGCTCAGCTTCCGCCTTCTGCCTGACACAGAAACTGATCCTACAGTAGGTCGGTGCCTGAGCACACTGTCAGGATCCGCCGAGGCCGCCAAGGCACTTCTCAATCGCTGCAACCTGTTCTGCTGCTTCTGACCTGATGTCACTCACACACACACACACACACACACACACACACCCGTGCGCGCGCGCGCCCCAGCAACAACTTTTCTCCAAACCCATACTGAGCATATACTGTGACACAGTGTGTAGAGCAATAAGCTGATCAAAGTCGAGTTATTGTCGCGAGCTCTTCTCACAGGGCAAGCCACCTTTCCTGACCCATCTGAGTCGCTGGCTTCTGCCGTTCTGCATCAGCGGAAAGCTGTTCCTTCCGTTTTTGTCACTGGTCGCTTGCCCGTGCCGCTTGATCTCACGTTACGCTGTAAGGCCATGGCAATGGTGGCTTTGGCTTGGCGATGCATTTGGGTAGCTTCCAGAGCACGCTGGCGCCACTCCTCTCGGCACAAAGAAGACCTATACCTTTGCCTTAATAACAACTGACCACATCACATGCGAAGAGGCACATATGCAGAGTTTTCGGCGTTTGGCCATCATCTTGCAGACAGTAGGCTGGAGGCTACGCAGGTGGAAACTCCGTGCCAAGTCGTGCTTTTAGACTCGGCCGGCAGCAAACATGAACTACGTGTCGAGCACAAGGCCGCAGCCGGTCGCGAGGGATTTCCCCTGATTTTCCCAAGCATTCTCCTCTCAGCAAAAAAGAGCAGCAAATGCTCAGATCTCAGCTCAATGCGAGATAGCTTGATGAGCTTTGATGCGCTGAATAATGACAATCGCCCGCCTCCATCACCATGGTCCAATGCAACGTGCTGACATACACAAGAAAGAGAGGGAGAGAGAGAGAGAGAGCACGCGAGCGCCAGCCCTTCGCGCCTGTGCGGGCTCAGGCACAATAATCACTATATAGAGTTCTTCGACGGACCGAGAAACTCAGAAGTAAGAAGATGCAGGAGATATTCAGCACTGATGAAATGCATCAGACACACTTTCCACACACTCAGCTGGGGATGTGCTTTTCAATTGCTTTTTCTGAATGTTTTTCCAATGTTGCCCAGCCGCTCGAACCATCCCTTCATCCTGGCACTGGCAAGCTCTGCCTAGTGCTGAGAATTGCTGAGATGTTCGAACATACGACTCATGCGAGAGGGGGGAGTCCTCATCTGATATCCTCCCCAGAGAGCTTCTTTGGCGGCAGCGATGTCACAGACGCCGGCCACGAAGATGCTGCAGAACGCGCGCCACCCGAGAGCTCTCGTGGGCAAGGTAGTGGTGTTGATTGCGTCGAAGGTCCTGGAAGCAAAGGTGCTTTTCAAGGTCGTATGTCTGCTCTTGGTCAAGCCTTTCACTCCATTCACTCGGCCGTCCTGCAAGTTTAGAGGCCACCAAGACCTTTCCAAAGTGCGCAGCTCCAGCCGGCTTCAAGGAAGCCTCTATCTTGTGCGACTGCGTGCTGAAGCCTCAAAGCCAAACATCTGTCATGCAAGGGGTGAATGGAGATGCTGAGATGCACTCGGGAGATACTCTCTTCACTCGCGCCGAGGGCTATGGTGCAGGCACCGAATCTCTTCGCGTTGTAATTCGGTGGCTTCCTAGGGGACTTCCCCTATTGCGGCACTGCTGAAAACTTTTCGGTTCCAGCACGTGGTCTCTCCTTGAAATTGATAATGCCGGGTCGCCTCTGTGTGCCCTGTGTCTGGCTTCCTGTTTTACCTTCTTTAAGGTGCCGCTCATACTGGATGCTTCGGTGATCTCGATGGCAGCGAGGGAGGCAGCTTGTCAGAGCTGGCTATGGTGGATTTCCGCTCTGCTACTCGTTGTTTCACAGCAGCCTCGAACTAGGCTAACTCTGGCTAACTCACACGTTTTCTCACCAGCACTCCAAGTGTAAGCTTTTGAAAACAGACGTGATACTCTTGGGCTGGATTTTGTGACGTCTTTGCTTGGAGGGGTTCAGTCTCTGCAAAATTCGTTGAAAGCCCGTTGCAAGCTGAGGAGCTGAGCCATGCTTCACCAAATTCAGTATTGTTCAACCTGTATAGTTGACATCGTAGGTCCGGCCCGTCAGGAACAATCAAGCCTGCAAAGCAGCTGGCCATGAGGCACGAAACTTCAAAGTAGGGAGCTTGGTGTTACCCGCCGTCAACTCTACTGGCCTGTTGCGGCTGTGGTGTCCCCGATGAGGAGTGTCAACATTAGTTGCTCGACACCTGGCATTTTGCCTTGGCTCGGATTCCCATACCGGATCCTGGAGCTTGGACTTCGACTTCGATCTTACAGCGGCCAAGGCACTGATGATGAAGTTTTCACCGCTACTCAACTGCCATCTTCCGCACACCTGAGACATGAACTTGACTTTGCTCTTGAGTTGCACTTGCAAACCCCATCACGGCAAGCGGCCACAGGCAAAAGCGATGTCAGAGCCTCATCTTGCAACTCCAAACCACGTGGCGCGTCCTTGCTGGTAGCGCTTGACCTTTCGGCTCTAGGATATAATTCACGGATCAAGTATCACTCTGCTCTGCAGCTTCAAGTATGTACACGCCGACACAGCTTCCTTCTCCTCTTCTCAAAGAATTCTTTCTCGGGGCCGGTACGGGGGACCCGTGGGATCGCTCGTCGGGTCGACCGTGGTGACCACGATGGGCTGCTTCGAGCGGTGGAAGTCCCGCATGGCGCCTCTAATTGAGAGCAAGCAACAACTTTCAGCAAAAGAGAGTGAGTATAAGTGCAATGTGTACCGAAGGCAATATCTGCTGCACCACTCTGCACGTGTGTAATTTCTGCATATGTCAGAAAGCCCCCTGTCCTGAAAGAACTTGGAGGAAGTCCAACTGCTTGAAGACCGGCACGCCGTTGATGTGCACAATTCGATCTCCCACCTTCGAGAAAAAAACTATCTAGCAAGCCGAGCACGGTGTTTGATCTCACTTAAGTTCACATTGCGCAACCAACTTGGCAGCCTTGAAGCCGAAGGTTTCAGCCCGAGGGTCTGCGAAACTGGTGATCACGAGCGTGTCCTCCATGTATGCATTCGCGAATAATGCAAGCATGTCTCACAACATCGACTCAATATCACCGGCCAGTTCAGACCATTGCCACAGTCGACCCGACAACCACGAAACAGAACTAAATAACTCAAAACGACTAGCAGGGTCTCATAAAAACCTCAGGTCCTCCGTGAGGTTTACTCCCAGTCGATCACCCTCAAGGGGACTGTCGATGACCAACTGTCTCCACGGCTTGTAGTTGGTCTTTGGTTTGAGATGGGGAGGATGCGGAGGAGCAGCACTTGGTCTAAGAGATTGAAGACTTTGTAGGAGACGATGTCGGCGCTCATGCATTCCGAGTACCGAGTCTGCTCGCCGCGCGTCGCAACTCTCATTCACAAGAAACGCTCTTGTTGATACTATCGCACAGCAACTCGTCAAACAAGCGAAGAGTGTGATGGCCACAATAGTTAGAACGCCATATCCATCCCTGAGCTGCTCAGTACTCACACTGGGCAAGTCAGACCAGCAGTGAGAAGCTGCATTGAGTTGCAAAGTTGCGCTACGTGACGGAGTAATGCAGAGCCAAGGAGCCTGTAAGCTGAATTGTATGATGCGGAAAGCTTTGCCCGCCATGTTTGCAGGAGCGATGGATGAATCTGGGCCTTGCGTCGTCTTGGGCGTGCACGATGCTTGTGGCTTACGCGGCGTCGAAGATTCTAAAACCAAAGCCAATTTGTGATGTACGGACATGTACGGTACTTTGGGCTTCTCGAAGTGCATGGCTGCTTCTCGACGCGGCCTGGATATACGGAAAACCGACAAACCTTCACGACATTCCACGACAAGTAAAAGCGAACCTGGATCTCACAAATCGTGCGAACCGCTTCCACCATGCAGGCACGCAAAGCCGATGCATGAGAGCGTTCCTGCGTTGAGTAGCCGAAAGCATAGCGGAGCCATTGCAGTGATTTCTGGGCAATAGCGATCATGCGAGACACCAACTCAGGCAAACTCAAGGTGTGATTTCAAACGAAACGATACTGCATTGTGTAAGGAGGACGACAGAGACCTGAATGTTTCATCAATGCTCAACTTAGGCGAGTTTCACTCTCAGGGGCAAGCATGTCTTGCAGGAAGCTGTGCCGGAGCATAAAAACACCATCAAAACAAGATCCTGGCCTCCGTCATGTTTGTATGTGGCGGCAGGGCACCAGCAGTACTCGAAGTGGAAGCTTTCATCGTGTCCACGTGTAAGCTGGAGTCTTCACCTCTACTCGAGGCAAGATCAATCGCAAAGCGGCAAGGCATTCGACATCGTGCCTGCACCCACATGTGAGTTGTTGAGATCCGCGGCTTGCGCCTGCAACTTGGAAAAAAAATGCTCGGCGCAAATCTTAGGAGCAGGTCTACAGAATCTACGCATCCGTACGTTGTACTGCTGCTTTCTGCGCTCCAGTTCTCACAAGCCGGACAAGAATTCAAGGAAATGAACCTGTCGCATGTGCAACAACTGGACCCCATCATCCTCACAGGCGCAAGGCACTGGCTAACTGCACGATTCTGAAAACGTGGCTACATACGCGTATATACCTATACACACACATATACAAATTTTAAAACGATATGCCCCCCCTCTTACCTACCATTTCTGAGGCCTTTGAATAAACTTGTTGGTTTGAGGGTCTGGGGAGGGGGGGTGCCACTACTCATGCACCTATGCTTGTATACACGACACATGAGAGCGAAAATGAATATTACATGTTTTTCGGTTTGAAACAAACCGGAAACATCTCCGGAAAGTTTTCCGGAAAAGTTGGATTGAAGATTGAAGATTGAAGATGCCAGGGAAACTTTCTCCAGCATCTCCAATCTTCAATCTTCAATCCAAATTTTCTGGGACATCTGGGGATCTCAGTGTCAATATTACCGGCCCCACTCCGCCTGCCCCCCCCCCCTTAAAACCGTACCGGTTAAGGGTTTAGGAGTTTAAAGAGAAGCCCTGAAACCCTATAGGGTTGAGCACTTCAACTTAAATCCTTAACCTTTAAACATCTTTAAACCTATAGGGTTAGTTGGTACGTAATCTGCATACTCAATCTTGGATGGAAAGAGTTTTTGTCACACAACAGATTATGAAGTTTGCTGTTAAACAGGGGGGGAGAGGGGGGGGGGTACCATAGCCAGGACCCCTGACAACCCCCCCACCCCCCCCCCGGCCCCCTCCCTCCCCTCCCCTTCGCTTCGATGCGCTTCCTGCTTTTTTGAGGCCTAGTCTCTAAAACCCGATCGGTGAAGAGTACAGGGAAGCCCCGAAACCCTTTCGGGCTAAGCAACTAAGGCCAAACCCGTGAACTTTAAACCCTAAAGAGCTAAGGTGTAAGGCCTCGAGTTTAAGATTTGGGCACTTAAACATATGTCGGCAATTAAACCCAAGCCCTTAACCTTTAAACCCTATAGGGTTAAGGTTTAATGGTTTAGGGTTTAAGATGAGGCCTTTAAACCTAAGCCCATAGAGTTTAAACCTTGGGGTTTAAGGTTTAGGCATTTAAACCTTAACCCTGGACCCGCTACACCTTAACCCTAAACCCATTAGGGTCGGAACCCTAAAACGGCACAGGGCGTTTCAGGGTTTATCTCCAAAACCCTCACGGGGTTAGCCCTACAGGGTTTAGACCCTATAGGGTTCAAAGGTTTAGGGTTTGAGGTTAGGCATTACCTGTAGGATTCGACCCTAAACCTTAAATCCTGCAGGGTTATCCCCCTGTTTGTAGGGCTTGCATTTGTGGAAATGCAAAGAGAAAGCAGAATAAGTACCCGCACCTATGTATATGGGGTATATGTATCGGAACTACCGATACTGGAGAAGAAGATGGTAAGCCTCGACCCACAAGACGAGGAAGTACTCGAGCGAATCGGGTGGTGCGAAACAACATTTACTGTAAGTCCATGGGACGAATGTGTTTGCTATGTAGTACTACACTTTATGATTAGCATACTTTTCAGTCTTTTCTTCTAGGGCCCACAGAACAAAAAAAACGAAAGAATCAAAAAACATAAAGTATAAAGGAATCGAAACCAAAAAACACAAACATGAATAAAAGATCCTTCAATCTTTCTTATTCTGAGGCCAAAATAATAAATGAATTATCTAAGAACAAGTCGCCATACCCCAAACCCATACCCCTTAACCTACCCCTTAGCCTACACAAGGAATTTACGGGAGTCTAAGGCTTCAAGGGGGGGATTTTACCATACCCCTATATTTCTTCTAAGGGTATGGTCAAGGGGTATGCTGAAATATCTTAGAAATACAAAAGGAAGGAAGAAAAGACCTATATTCTTGTTTCTTGGTTATTCTTCCATTCCTTTCTTCTGTGCCCCCCCAGAAGAATACAAAAAAAAACAAGAATATAAGAATAAAAGGATACAAGGAATGAAAGAGTTTAAACCGTTTTGTCTTGTATTTTGGTGCCTCCAAATAATACACGAATACAAAGATAAAAAGTACAAAATACTCTAACTCTCTGATTATCTTATTCTGGGGCCCGGGCCCCCCCAAAGAATACAAGAATAAAGAAAACAGCATTTTGTCTTTCACTACTTTCATCTAGAGCCCCCAAAATAATGAAAGAATAAACGAATAAAAGACATGTGCTTTTTGTAGTCTTTTGATATTGTGGGTGGCCCAGAATAAAGGAATGAAATAATACAAGAACCCAGAATAATAGAATCAAAGAAAATACTCCCTCATTTCTTTATTCTTGTATCATCTTATTCTTTCTGGGCTCCCCAGAATAAAAGAATACAAGGGTTACGTTCAAGGATTATACTATTGGATTCTTGTATTCTTTGATTCTGTTTTCTTTTCTTCTGAGCCCCCCAGAAGAATAAAAGAATAGGAGAATGCAAGAGTATACATCGTTGATTCTGCTATTCTGGTGCCTCCATAATAATCGGGGAACAATAGTACAAAATTATGTAATAATCAAATCCTCTTCTTCTCCTATTCTGGGGTCACCCAAAGAATGAAAGAATAAATCAATAGAAGAATAGAAGAACATGTTTCTTTTATTCTTTCATTCTGGGGCCGCCAAATAATGACATATATAAAAGACCAAAAGGAATACTTTCTTTACCTGTTTGTTCTTTGGTTATTGTAGATATATACATATATATATATATATACATGTATATGTGTATTTATGTATACATACACGTGTGTATAGAAGTTGATGTGTATATACATCCATGTATGTACATGTATGGAATACACATTCATATTACATATTACATATTACATATACATATACATATACATATACATATAAATATACATATACATATGTGTGTGCATGTATGTCACAGATTTGCACTTGACACTACTCTCTCCAGGCTTCCGTGAGCTGCTATGATGCTTGCTGCGATGTGCTCCTCGCAGGTTGGAGCAGGAGTCGCTGGAGCTTGGAGCAGGGACACGCTCAGCAGGCAGATCACCTCCAACGCTGCCCACTTGCTAGTGACAGCCTGAATGCAAAAGCTATCCATATGTACTCTGTGATGCTCAAGTCCAGTCACCTCTAGACGCCACAGGCGCCGGCTCATGCATTCGGATCGCCCCTTCCGCCCCGGCTAATGTAATTATGACGCTTCGATATCGAGCCCAAATGCCTTGCCAGTCCACAAGATGTGACAGGGTGTCACGCCACAACTGCCAGCTGTCAAGGCCCCAGCATTCGACAACTGCAAGCACGAGACCAGTCCTCAGCTCCGGAAGACCCATCGTCCTGATTGTTGACCCAGTCAGGTTCCTGTGGCCCAGGACCGTCTCGCATTGCCGCTTCTATAATTTGCTTTGCTTTGCTTGCTGCTGCGACCGCTCCGACTCCCATCCGCTCTGGTTCTTTGCTCGGCGCCTTCGTCTCAACATTCGAGAGAAGTGGCTCCTGGAACAGCGCTTGCACACCTTCGAATATCCTCCCTGAGTGCTATGTGTCTCCATGTGCTGTTGCACTCGGTGTTGTTCACACCATTCCAGCCATTGAAATATTGCCCAACTGAACTTTGCCACGCTTTGCAGTGCTTTGTAATGCGTCTGCATCAGCAGAAGCATGGGACGGATGAATGTCGAGAAAACTACTGAGTGATTGCCCATGACATCCAGCTCCCACCCTCGCCCGTCCTGCAGTGTCTCGCCAGCCTGCATCGTACGCTCGACTCAAGCTTTATTGGTGGGAACCAGGCATGTCACACGCAAGTGATTCTCAAATGTGGCGCTTTGCACGCACTCGCGCTCAAGTCTTTGAAACTAGTCAAGGCAGTATGCGAGCAGACCACTGACATTCAGGATGAACACCCCAGACATGGGACTTTTCTGTTTGCAAAGCAAGGAGATGTACGCGCGGTTGATCCTGCCACTTCTTACTTTCAACAGCTCCTTCGGGCTGTGCTTGAAGACCACTACCCGGATGCCACAGCACGAGCATGCAACACACTCGTTGTCCAGGCCTTACGTGTCTTGCGACACGACATGAGCAAGATGCCAAGGAGCCTCAAAAATCTGCAGGCTGCAGGTCTTTCTTTTCACATGTCCATTCCTTCCTCACTCGGGCGGAAGCCCCACAATGGCGCCGCCCAACGCCATGTCTTAGCAAAGAGGAGGTATTCTGTTGACTGACAGCGCTGGACAGAGTTGCTTTCTGCAAAGTTGAAGCATGTCGAAGTTATAAAGGCCACGGCAGAAGTAGCGCTGTTGAGACGTGGCCTGGTTGTTTCCAAGCGAAGGCTGCTCTCTAGCTTACTTCTCGAGCTAGCTGGAAAGGTCGGCAGCGTGGACCTGGATTTGCAGACCATTCGTCGTCTGCATCTGCATGAAGCGAACCTGTCGCTTTGCGGTCACATTGGGATGGGTGGCCATATGGCAATGCGAGTGTCCAAGCGCCTTTTCATGAGCAACTTTGGCTTCCAAACGCTTGACCTGCAGGATTGATCAAGCCACAAGAAGACTTGGCGGACCACCTGTAACATCTACTTAGTCGCTGCTCCGAGGTAGGCCGCCGCCCCCCTCTCCCCCCCCCAAGGTTCTTGATGGCCTTGCGTAAGATCTTATGAGCACTCATGGGGTGGGTGGAGATGCATCAAGGGCTCGAGTAGTCTAAAGTATCTTTGTGGGGCTCATGCGCGCTAATATTCCCTTACGTGTGGTACACCTGCCTGTCGGCGGCAGGCACTCAAGCAAATCCAGCGGCCAAGTACGGAGAAATGTTACACCTCTTCACACTCCATTGAGCTCTCTGAGGCATCTGGCCGTCGCGTTGTGCTCCGCTTGCTTGGCCAAAGCCTCGGGGTGAGAATGGCAAAAGGGGACCATCGGGGAACGATCTTGGGTTGAGATGTAGTGGCTCTCGAGCAAGCACGTTCTGCATAGTGAATTAATCGCCCCAGCGAAGTCCATTTCATGACATGCAAAATCGCTGGGCATTTTGTAGTACGGGGCGGGGCACCAGGGAGTCCTCATCAGAAGAGGACACCGTTTGCGGTCAGCTTAGCTGAAGTTTAGCAGCAAGGGTGGGAGGGTGGGAACCAGTCCTGTGCTCTGCTGGCAGAATGGGAAAACTGAGCAGGGGGCGAGCTCAGCGGAAGCACGCTTCTGCGCCTCACACTCTGGCCGAAGGACGGCAAAGGGCACGTACAGACACCCATGCAGCACTGCCCGACAGTCAACCTACATGCGACAGCTCTCACGCCTGCTTCTTGTCATCAGGATCTTGGGTCTTTTGTGCTGCCTGCGCTGCCGCAGTGGCCCTGACTGGTCGTTCATCCATGGTCCATGCAACACATGCCCATTTCGTGATCTGCTGTGTCTGATCCTGGGATCTCCTGGGTCCGAGGCCTGGCCATATGAATTTGGGCGTTTCTTTCTTCTGCCTCTGCGTGCTCACGCTCCTGTTCCAGGGGCAGCCTCACTGGCTCAACATGGCTCAACCCACTCCACTACTCACTACGCTCTTGTCCATGCTTCCATGGCTCCTTCATCTCAGCCTCCTTTGCGGAGTCCAGGGCAGCCCTGGCAAAGCAGCCACAGGAACATGAGGTTGGGAATGGTTCAGACGATGATCCCATCGCGAAGAAATATGGACGGCGGGCGTAGAGGGAACGGGTTCCAAATGGCCTGGTCGGGGGTGAATTGCAGGATTACCCGCAGGAAAGCTGTGGCAGGAAAGCTGTGGAAACTGCAAGACACACCGAGGCTAACTGAGCACATGGCTGTGCACAGGATTGATGGTTGCAGGTGCTGGGCCTTTGAACGAACTGGATAAAGGTAAGCATGATGAAAGAAGCACATGCTTGGCCTGTTCTCCGCTGAGGTCGCAGCTTCCGCGCAGGCCCTGCACTGATACGGAAATTCAATACAAGCAACCCCTTGACCCTTCCAAGACTATCAAGCTTCTAGACGCACGGTTGTATACCAGCATAACCTTGGCAGCTTCTTCAGCTTTCTGGGCTGCGATGCGTTCATCTTCACGAGCTTCGGCCAACTCCTGATACCAGTCTGACAGGACCCCTCTGAAGCAATGTCTTGAGGTCACGGAGAGCCTTGCGAGCTAGCTCCTCCCTCCGCTGTGCAGCTTCAGCCTTGGGCAGACGATGTGTGACGAAAATGGCGACATTGACGACATCCCCCCAAGTCGTGGCACAAGGTGATCATGACTGATGGATCCATGATGAACCGTACAATGCGATCAGTGCAGCTCTGGCCGCCTAGACTTGGGTAAGAAGCATACCATCGCTTTCTCATGCCTCTCCTCTGAAGGATCCATGTCCCCCCATCCTCGCGAAGCGCGCGCAGAGAGGCGGAGAAGTGAGCATTCCTCTGATCATGACGGCCTGTTGCCCAGTCCAGCATCTCGACTGGTGCAGTGGCATCTGCCTGTGTCTCAATGTCAATGTACCATAGGCAACATAAGCGCGGCTCCGTGTCAAAAGCGGTACAATGATTTTCTCAGGAAGGTACCGCATGCCCGTAGGCAACCAAACCAGCAACAAGAGCGTAGATTTTCAGCCTGAGCTTCAGGTAGACACGACGTTCATGGCAGGAAATCTTCAATTTGCACCAGTAACACCCAGGTGCGCCACAGCATTCTTCCCATGTCTCACGGGATTAGCTGGCCTGGGCAGTCAGCAACTGCTGAACTTACTTGCAGCGATTTTGTGGAGTCAGTTGAGTCATTGCATGAGTCATTGCATGAGTTATTGCGTGAGTCATTGGATGAGTCATTGGATGAGCGACTTGGGCAGCTGGAGCAGCCTGTGCGGGTCGGGGCTGTTGGCAGGGCCTCCCGAGGCCTTGTGCCCTGAAAAGACCGAACACTGCCAGATACTGCCAGGATGTGTCGTGGCAATCCAGCTAGAAGGTGGGAATGAAATGGAGCTCACACAATACGAGCATTGCCTGCCTCGAAATGTTCTAAAAAGCCACCCCCCCCTTTCACAGAAGTTGAGGACTAGTTTGGGATGCCCCTACAAACTGCGAGAGGAAAAAGCCCCAAAATTCATTGACACTGGGACCTCCAAATCGAGACCAGGTCACTTAGCCAGCTCCAAAGTTAGGCAACCGGCACACGCGGCTACCACGTGAGATGCTTGAGCCCTATGCTGAGGTAGCAATCAAGAAATCTGGCTGAAGCATGCTGGAAGCACGCCGCATGGAAGCAATTAGAAGATCTGCCCCACTCTTACAGTATCGTCGATGTTGCGCATCGAGCTTGAAAACCATCTTAGTTGGCTATGGAGGCAACCTACATAAGTACATACATACATACATGCATACATACATACATACGCACGTGCATATGCTTCGCACTTAGTGGTTTCCAAACTACGAAGCCACGGGTTCCTCAGGGTGAGGGTCGAGTCGGAAAAACGAGTCGAAAAAGCCAAAGACCGAGTCAGAAAACAAGGAAGACCGACTCAGAAAACGGAAAGGCGTGAGTCAGAAAACCGAGAAGACGCGAGTCAGAAAACAAGAGAGTGAGTCAGCAAACGGCCCCAAGCACACAAAGGTTAACCTCTACAACGAGACGTAGTGTTTGCTCAGTAGCCGTCGTTCTCTTGAGGATAGGTACCTACTTTGTAGGGGTCTATCAAAACATGTATACACCCCTACCCATAGCCGTCTATCCTCAGGGGGATGGACCCCTGCCCTATCTACAGGGTCTACGGAAGTCGATAGGTACCTACACACAGGCACCTCCCATAGGTAGGATAGGGTCCTGTACATAGCGGGGGCGAGACCCCTATATATCGTTTTCAGATAGGTTCCTATGGAGGTTCCGGACAAGCTTGCTTCAAGCATTGAGTTTTTTTGGAAAAACCGATCATGCGAGCATTGTGTTTGCAAATGGGGTGGGGGGGGCGGACAGCTGCGCCCCCTCCAACGCCCCTGCGTTTTTAAGCTGCACAAGCTTCCTTCAAAAGTTTTCTTTGTCAAACCCATCATGCGAGACCCTAAAGCCCCCAAACCCTGCACCCTAAAGATCCCCAAACCCTAAACATCACAAACACCTAAACCAGAAACCCTAAAAACCCCTAAGCCCTAAACCCATAAAACTCCTAAACCCTAACCCAAATAGCCCTAGAAAATACCCTAAATCCCAAAACCCCTAAACCCCGAAGGCTGAAACCCCTGAACCCTGAACCCTCAGAACCCCGAAGCCGCAACGTCAATAACACCAAACCTGAAACCTCAACCCTAAAAAGAAAGCCCCCTAAACCCTAAAAGCCCCCTAAGCCCTAGAGCGAGAAATCCTTCCTTCCTTCCTCCCTCCCTCCCTCCATCCCTTCTCTCTCCGTCGGAAGAACAGTATAAATGTTTCTTGATCCTAAACAAGTCGCTTTTGATCCTAAGCATATTTTGTTTGATCCGCATGCCGCTATGCCCCTCCCCAACCTCCCCGAGTTTCTTCTTTTTTGAACCCATCATGCGTGTGCTGTGTTTGAAAATGGGAGGGCCGCGCCCCCCCCCCCCCCCCCCCTCCCCAAACCCCCTGCTTTTCAAGCCGCGATAGACCCCGATCGATAGGTTCCTATATGACTCACAACCCCTAAGCCCAAAACCCTTAAAACCCCTAAGCCCTAAACCCTGAAACCCCTAAACCCTAAACCTTTAAACTGCCCGAAATCCTAGACCCTAAACCTAAACCCAAAAAAAACCGTAACCATAAACCCCAAACAGCCCCTAAACCCTAAACCCTAAAAAACTCCTGAGACCTAAACCGAAAAAACACTTAAACCCTAAAACCCATAAACTCCAAACAACCCTAAACCTTAAACCCGAAAAACCCGAAATCCCAAACCCCAAAAAAACACAAAACCCTACACCCTACAACCCCGAAAACCTAAACCCTAAAATATCCGAAACCCCAAAACCAAACAAGCCCGAAACCCTAAATCCCAAAAAGCCCCTAAACCCAAAAACCCTACACCTAAAGCCTAAAGCCGGTAAGAGTGTTTTTTTTTTTGTTGCGGGTGCTTTTTTGCTGCGGGTGCGGGGGCGCGTTTTTTTTTTGCTGCGGGGCGGGGGCGCGTTTTTTTGCTGCGGGTGCGGGGGGCGCGTTTTTTTTTTGCTGCGGCTGCGGGGGCGCGTTTTTTTTTTGTTGCGGGTGCCGTGGGGGCGCCTTTTTTTTTTGCTGCGGGTGCGGAGCGTTTTTGCTGTTTTCTCTATATTTTACTATGAAAACCTTTATTTTCTCTAATTTTCAATAGGAAAACCTCTTTCTCCTCTATATTTGAATAGGAAAACCTCTTTCTTCTCTATATTTGAATATGAAAACCTCTATTTTCTCTACATTTAGCATTAAAACCTCTAGTTCTTCTAATTTCTCCATACTTCAATTCGAAAACCTCTATTTCTCTCTATTTTTGTCTATATCGTCATAGTTTTCCTCTATATTTAATGAGGAAGACATGAGAGACTTATTCTCTGTGTTATCTCAATATGTGACTTGCAATTAAAAGTGTTTTTGTTCCTCTTGTCCTAATTTTAATAGGAAGCCCATTATTTTCTCTGTCTCTGAATAGGCAAACCTCCATTGTCTTAACATTTGAACATGCAAACCTCTATTCTCTATATTTGAATATCAAGACCTCTACATTTTAATATGAAAACACTTTGTATTTTCGCTATATTTTCGTACGAAAGCCTCTATTTTCCTCTATGTTGTCATAGGAAGCATCTAATTTCTCTATATTGTATAGCGAAAACCTCTATTGTTCTATAGTTTCTTATTTTGTCAGTATTTTCAGACTTCTTCTCTTTATTTCACGAGGAAGACATGAGAGAGGAATACATGAAAAGCTAATTCATGCATTATCTCTATTTGTGACTCGTAGACAACAAGTGTTTTTGTTCATGTCTCATAACACAAGCTCTATTTTCTCGATTCTTTACTAAGAAGACGTTTAAATCTCTTTTTTAAACGGAAAATTCAACTTCCACCATACGGTCTGAATTTTCGTAGGAAAGCAAGCATATATTCCCTCTTTCTTCAGGGGGTTGGGGGCTGCGCAGACCGCCGCATTTGAAAACACAATGCCCGCATTATGGGTTTGGAAGGGATTCGTAAGCTTTGATCATCATGGCTTCGTGTGATTGAAGCAAGTTTGCCCGGCTAAAAAGCGCAGCCCCCCCCCCCCCCTTTCAAGCGGGGGGGGCAGGGGAGGGGGGGGGGGGGGGGGAGGGGGAGGGAGGGGAGGGGGGGGGGGGGGGGAGGGGGGGGGGAGGGGGGGGGGAGGGGGGGGAGGGGGGGGGGGGGAGGAGGGGGGGAGGGGGGGGGGCGAGGGGGGGGGGGGGGGAGGGGGGGGGAGGGGGGGGGGGGAGGGGGGGGGGTGGGGGGGGGGAGGGGGGAGGGGGGAGGGGGGAGGGGGGAGGGGGGAGGGGGGGGGAGGGGGAGGGGGAGGGGGGGTAGGGGGAGGGGGGAGGGGAGGGGGGAGGGGGGGAGGGGGGGAGGGGGGAGGGGGGAGGGGGGAGGGGGAGGGGGGGGGGGGGGAGGGGGGAGGGGGGGAGGGGGGGAGGGGGGAGGGGGGGGAGGGGGGAGGGGGGAGGGGGGAGGGGGGAGGGGGGAGAGGGGGGAGGGGGGAGGGGGGAGGGGGGGGGGGGGGGCGCGGTTTTTTTTTGCTGCGGGTGCGGGGGCCCCTTTTTTTTTTGCTGCGGGTGCGGGGGCGACACGCGCCAGGTCACTCACTCACCGGGGCGGCCCCCGAAAAAAGCACCCACAGCAAAAAAGCACCCACAACAAAAAAAAAAACACGGGTTCCGCCTAAAGCCCAAAACCCCCGAGCCCTAAGCCGAAAACCCCTAAACCCTAAAAACACCTAAACTCTAAACAAACCCTCAGCCTAAACCCGAAAAAACCCAAACCCCTGAAAACCCCTAAACCCTAAACCCTAAAACCCCTAAACCCTCGAACCGCATGGGAGCCTAAACCCCCTAGAAAAACCACAAAAAGCTCCTAAACCCTCGAACCTCATGGGAGAGGAGTAGGCTTCGGGTTTTCCGGCAGGGGTTCATGTGTTTTCGACTCACGCTTTTGGGGGGCGTTTTCTGTTGGGGGATCCATCACGTTTTCGACTGAGGGGTCTGCCCTGTTCTCGACTCAGGTCCATCTGGTTTTGCTCATAAGCCCTTTTTCCGACTTGACAAATCACCCGGGTGCTCGACGCGTCAGTGTTCTAAATAAGGGTTTCCGTAACCACGGGGCTGCAAGCCGTGCGTGCTCCTAGGACGGGACGTACAGGACAGAGGGCCGGGCTTGGAACTTCGGAACATGAATTCAACAGCAGATGTAGAAACAGAATAGAGGACCGCACTGAAATCACAGCTGCTGCATCCACGGCTCGTCGGACAAATTCACAAGGGTCAGCACACACACACACACACACACACACACGGAAAAAGGTCTGATCGGGAAGCACAGAAGAAACAGGGGGTATGTAAAGCAACCGTGCGGGCTATGAATTCTTGGGAGGGTCACAATGATTCGATGTGCATCGTCTTTGTGTGTTGAGTAAACGTACTGAAGCACTTGCTTGCGAACTCCGGTAGTGCAGGCCGTGCCTACTGGCATGTGCACCAAGTGAGGCATTGGCGTAGGGTGTAGGGCATGGCATGCAGAAAGGATGCATCTAGGAGATTGGGAATTGCCTAGCCTACATTGCTCTGTTGTCTGTGGTACATTCTAAGGCATGTCGGCCGAAGACTGTTTGCAGCACGCTGGAGTCAGGCAGATCTTCAGGCTGCACGCGCGTGCTCAAACTCAGCGCACCTGCATTGGTTATGCATCGCGACTCTTTGGAGCTACGGCCACTGCACTCTGACAGCGAAAAATACCAGGCGGAGTGCAATCAGCGACAAAAACTGTAAGGCTGTGGCATGGATGCCCTTCACACCGGAGTGCTTGTGATATTCCTGCACAGCGGCCTGCATCGTAAACTTGCGAGCGGCAGATGTGTGCTGTAGCCAGGCTGTAGCACACTTGCAGCGAAAGCTCACCTCGTGAGCTTCTTGTCTGAGGTCAAGAACCTGACAGATTGCGGAAGAGCCGGCAACATCCACACGACATCAGGCCAGGCCTGCTGCAGCTCCTTGTAATGGCCTTTTGTCCGATGTCCGAAGAGGGGCGGAGGCTAAGCGAATGTGAACAAGGGGCACCAAGTCTGGCTTTCTTGAGCACACTGCCAATGTGCCAATGCCCCCATCCCGAGAGCTCCGCTGTCGGGATTAGCCCAGCCAGGGCAAGCAATTGCCTCGCGTTCAGATCGTTCAGCATCCGCTTAGGTGCGATGATCACTTACAGTCACTAACAATGGGCCTTGTTCCTGGATTGAACTGCGCACCAACGCCGATCCAAAACTGTCAGAGTCACAAGGCACAGTCCGATTCACCGTCCCAGCGTGCTTGTTTCACAGTACTGTGCCACTGTGCCTTCACTCTGGAGAAACGAAACCGAATCTCCTTGATGTTGGATTTGACCTGTGAAGGCACATTGCTGAAACCATGATGGCCACAGTTGCCAATGACCTTCGGAGCATAGCTGCCCAGAACCTGCACGATCAATCATCTCGGATATTCTCGGATGTTTTGCTCTCTCTAGCACAGGCTTGCAGTCTTCACCACAACCTCCATGTGCTTGCCGTTCTGCGGATCGCGTTGGTTGCATGCCTTAAGGATGTGCTTCATGCGGGCTCGGAGAATGAGCAGGGCGCGGCTAAGGCAAGGACCACCAACTTGAAAAACCTCTGAGACTTTCAACGACTCTGACGGCATGCAATGGTGCATTGAAGGAATGACAGGGATAACATCAGAACCTGCGCCCCCTCGTTCCCACCACTTGCTGCCGGATCTTGGGCGGGCCGCGTTCCTGGCAGGAGGCATGCGCATGCAAACCATCCAGGCCAATCAATTGTTCCCATCGCCTTGGAGTAGAAAGGTAGAAACCTAAGCGCAAGCCCTTCAAAGGGACGGAAGCCTTGCAACAGTGCTTGCTGTTGGCTCAGGTCGAGGCATTTTCCTCACCAACCGAACGGTAGATCGCAGCATTGCTCCGGGGAACTAGCTGCGGTGAGAAGTCTTTGCAAAGATGCAACCCTGAAGTTAACTCCTGGGCTGGCCAGGGGTTAACTAGCGGTCCTCCGCTTCGCCAGTTTACTTTTTGAGGGTATTTCCTTTTGGGATTTTGGGGTTTTATTCAGGCTTAGAGTTTGCCCCCCACCCTACCCTACCCACCAACATCCCCTGTCAGGGCTTTCGGCTTACCACCTCTCTCCTTTCATTGCTTTCGGCTTTGCCGCCCAACATCTCAGTGTAGGGGTTTGGGTTTGCCACATCAGATGCGGCATTCTCGTTCGTCGGGTTGAGGGTCTGCCGCCCAACATCTCCGTTTAAAGCCTATGGTATACCACCCAGCATCTCCTTTTTGGCTTGCCAGCTTTGAGTCTGCCGCATCTTTGTTTAGCGCTTCGGGTTTGCCGAGCAAGTCTCCTTAAACTTGGCTCTGCCACAGCTCTTTTTTGACTTTAGGGGCCCTTTTCTGCCAAAGTAGAAAAGAACCAAATTAGACTTTCGGGTTCGCTGCCACCCCGACATCCCGTAGCAGAGGGTAAAAAGCTCAAAAAGCACAAAAATCACAAAACAAGACATACAACTAACTTACAACTAACCTAGCTACCATAACCAAGCCCGGCCCGCATCACCGCACCGACGTTTTGTACACGTGGCCGCCATGCGGGCCCGAGCTAGTGCAAAGTTTTGGAGGGTACCAGAAGCCGCAAAAAAGCCGCGCATCACGAGCATCAGCGACCTTGGGCCCAAAGAGGGTCAAGACGCTGAGCAACGCAAAAACCCTCGTAAACTCCGTGGTTGCTTTTTTGTGTTGCGAACGTGTTCCTAGTTGGCAAATGACGCGCAGGCCTAGTTTACCCACTCCCTGTTCGGGGGGATTTTCTATAGACCCCTTGATCCAAACAACCCCCCAAAAAGCCCTTTCGGCTCTCCAAAAGGGCCCCGAAAAGGAATTCATCTGGGACCCAGTAACCGAGCGGGTGGGGGCAAGTGTTTGTAGGCGCTCTCTACCGACTTGGTGCACCAGCCTCTGAGCCTCCTAGTGGTGAGTTTTTAGGGCTCCTCTCCGTAAACCTTTCGAAGGCCCCAAGCTTTTGGCTGTCCTGAGCGTCTTCTACGAAATAAGGGACCCCTTCGCCACTCCGGATGGCCAAACTGCAGATTGCCCACCTTCCCCGCAGCCCGCTAGTAGTCCCCTAGTCAAAAGGTCGTGCTCATGCTTACAAGCGTGAATGGTCTTGGTACGCATACCACCGTCTTAGCCGACGAAGCTGCAACCACTAAATCTCTGTCTGCTCGTACCCTCACGCGTCTCTGGTATTGCTCTGTTGTCTGCCATGGTAACTTTACGCTGACTTGAGCTGCAACAGTCCCGCGGGCTACTGTCCGGGCACATAGCTCTTACAACTGATCTTCCACCTCATCTTCGTTCCGACACACAGAACCAAAACCGATGCCATTTTCTACACAAACATCGGGGATGCGAACCGGCGACATCGCTCACCTATCCGGATTGAAAGGCAAGATATGCGAACACAGCTTAACTGCAGATGAGGTACGCGAAATGTTATATAGGAATACCATTTGCTTCCGAATGCTGGCACCAACAAACAAAAAATGAAAATCAGCCCGTGTTCATGAAGGTGAAACGTCGTGGTTACTGTTGCGAACATGCTCACGCAGTCAAGGAACAAATGGCCAAAAAAGTACCTTTACAAGTGGTGAGCGCAAATCCTGCTAAGTTCGACTCTCAAGCGGGCATGCAGCAGCTTGCAAAGTGAACTCTGAGCATTTGTCAGGAGCTCAAAGGGAAAAGTGAATGCTCACAAGCAGTCACAGGCATCCTGCCAATATGACAGACAAGCTGATGCGTTTTCCTAAAAAAACGCCACCCCCACTCCCCCTGTGAGAGTACACCAAGGCGGCCAGTCCACCAGTCTAATCGTGCACAAGGAATCGCGTAAATCTCAGAATCTCCTTCTTGCAACAGCCGTGCATGGTGCAATCAATGCTACAGTCAATGCTACAACTTTTTCAATTGATGTAGCTGGTGAACTGCTGAGATGAAGTGGCTAGCAACATAGCCAACTATCCTGCCGATGGCGGCGAAGAGATTCCTTGTGCCATGACATCTTCGTGTCGGTCGTGCACAGATTTCACTGCCGTTAAACAGCCGCTTTGCCTCAGCTACTGTTCGTCGAGGGGCTCAGGGGCACATGTTTCAGAGAGCAGCGCATGCAGAAATCCTGTGCGCCAGGCCGTTCGGAGCATCCCGAGACAGTGACGACCTCAAGTTGCACACAAGGGGGCTTCCAACCGGCTGAAGCACAAGTGGGCTCTTGAGTCCTAGGTCCTACTGCGAGAACATCGAGATGGGTTTGCCCCGTGCAATGAGTCAGAACATGCGTCTTGCCCTGCGGGATGACGAGACATTGACTCAACAAGACTTGGCACACTAAGAGAGCAAGGAGAGCAGTGGCAACAAGGAAAAGAGAGTCACTTCGATGACCGGAACGTGACGAGATGTGACGAGCCACTGTGTCAAACTCTGACGGGTTGTGTCGATGACGTTCCGTAGAGTTTGGCCTCCACCTTGACTTCACTGGACCTTGAAGATGCTTCTCGCACCTTCCGATAACGTAGGGAGCAGCTGCAACCATTCGCCGGGGCCATGCTGAAGGCATAGCATTCGAGGCCAGCAGTGCCAATCCGGATGCCCAATCCACTCGCCAGTCCACAACAAGAATTCAAAATGTTCAAAGGCCCCGAAGCCCTGTACAAAGGCGGGCTCCCTTGGAATACAAGTCCGAGCGCGACACAAACTTCGGTCACCGAAGGGAACAGAGGCCGCTAAAGGGTAATCTCCCCAAAGAGCCTCCCTACCGCTCAGAGCGTCCTGAACAAACTCGAGACATCTCGAGTGCTGGTCAGGAAAGTTGGACGTGGCCTGCTTCGCAAGCCGTGCTTCGTGTTTCGCAGTTGTAAACGGAGACCCAGCTCCACGAAGGACTCTCAACCAAGACAAACGGTCCGGAGCACCCGAGAATTGTTTCGACAGAGACGTAGGGCCCTTACGATCCGTCGCATCCACAACCGACCTGCGGGACGCCCACAGTTGGGCCAGACCTGGGCGGGCAAGATGCCAACTGACATGCAGCTTCTAAGAAAAGTTGGGGCCCATACGCAACCTCGCATTGCTCTACCAAGGCCACCTGCCGCGTCTTCTCCGGTTCTTCATGCGATCTGTTGCAAAGCAGGTGTTGCCGACTCCTGCCTCGCTGTTCGCCCCAGGACCTGGACGCCACTTGGACTTGTGAACTTGTTTGTGTCATCGCTAGCTACTCAAGGGCATGAATCAGCAAAGGCACCTCTGGCAAGTTTTTCTGCGTCAGACTGCTGCTGAGCCTTACATGATTTGAACGCTGACGTGGTCGACAAGAGAACTTGTGGCTGCTTGTAGTTGCTCAGGAACATGAGCTTGAAGCAGGCTCGATCACATCCGGGGCCGTCTCAACATCTGCTTTGCCTGGCAGAATCTTGCCACATGTTACCTGCAAGCTGCAATCTCAGCTCATCCTATCTTGATCAACAATGGAAACCTGCCTGTGGCGGCTTCCACGGCTTTCTTGGGCATGGCCTCTTGGCTGGCGGCAGCCTGAGACATGATTCGTTGGGTGCGCAGGCTGTTGCATGACGTCCTATGCGCATGTGCCTCTTGCTTTGCAGCGAAGCCATCGCTTTCCGCAGGCCCAGTTGACCCAGGAGGTGCTTCAGCCGGTGCGGCTGGCAACGTCCTGAAGGCCATCTTGATGGCAAAGGCATGCGAACTTTGCGTTGTTCGTCGTGCGAGTGCTGCACCTGTCGGTTTCCAGCTCAGGCGGCTGAGCTCCAGTCTCAACCTTGTCGGCAAGATACAGCGTGTGGGATCAACTCTGTTTGGCGTAGCATTGTGGCACTAGCGGCACTAGCGGCGCCAGGATTTCATCCACACAAAACACACCCTTCCCTACATGGTCAGGCCGTATCTGCGATAAGACTCCGCCTTGCTAGCGAGCTAGCTTTCACTAACATTCTATAATGACCTTTAGCTACTATGGCTTGTGCATTCCATCATTAAGATAATGACGAGGATGACGATGACGACGATGATGACTGTGATGACCATGATGATGATGATGATGATGACGATGACGATGTCGATGATGATTAGGAGTATCATGGCACAGCAATGGCCATGTTTCCGAGGACAGCGCATCAGGTGGAGAAGGCTTGGTCTCATCAATCTTCTCTATCTTGTCCCTGCAGTCCATAGTTTTCATCTGTCTCAAGATCATGCATGCAAGGCATCAGCTTGTAGCGTGAAGCATGCGCACGTATTCAATGGCATACAGGCTCCAGGCTTCTTCTTTGGCCGTCTCTGGCCACATCTGGAGAAGACCTGGCAAGGCATCTGCCGTTAAGCTGACGGCTGGCATCCAGAATGTTCTCAACTGCCGGAGCGACAATCCAGTCCTGACATGGCAGGCTGGACATATTGGGCTGGGGGCATGACACGTCCACTCAACACTGCACAGGGAGGCGGAGAATCCGAAAAAGATCGAGAAGGGCGATTCTTCGCTGAGTCTTCGTCCATGCAACGCGGGAGCCCGCGGAACTTGGAACTGCCTTCATCCTGTCAACATGTCAAGTTCCCGAACCAGTGGCAACCAAGAGCTTTACATAGCAGGCTGCATCGGAATTGGATCCCCGCCTGCTGCCGTCTGTTCATGATGTATTCGTATGTGGTCAAGTTTTGGTGCCTTCCCACGTGCCATTGGCCAACGAGGCATGCAAAGCATCTTGCTGGCGGCGTGATATGTGTGATCACTCGGTTCCCTGCATCAAGTAGACATGCAGAAAAACCTGAGCGAGATCCCACCACACGATTTGAATCATGACGGTACTGTTGCGGTTCTGTGCAGTCAGTGCCCGAGGCCCGCTCCAGCTGCATGTCCAAAAACCATAACGGCACATTCACGAATGACATTGCAATAAGCATCCTCAGCAACATCAATACTGTCAGCCGTGAAATGTTTCATCACCCACAGAAGCACCACAGCTGAGCTGAAAGCGCAAGAAACGCCTCCATGGAAAGTCCCGCATGGACTGGAGATGCCTGCGGCCAAGAAAGCGGGAGGGATAGAACACCTTACATGAGCTGCAAGTTGCAAATTCCACGGCTTGAAGGATCGGCGCGGCTGCTCAAGTCAAGGCGCGCAGTTAGCGAGTCCAACGGTGACACTACTACCCCGAGCCCTTCTGAGCTTCCCTGGGATCCCCAATCACCCGGCTACGCCTGTTGGGCTTGTTGGGCTCCCAGCTCGGTTCGCCAAGCAAGGTGGGTTCAATGGCCCTCGGGGGGCTTTCTTGTTGTGACCTTCTTCGCGCCACATATATTCTTCACAAAGTTTCCAACTCACTTGGTGGAGGACAAGCCCCAAGTGATAACCAATTCTCCCATCTTTAGGCGTTAGAAGCCGGCGTGGTTGCTTGTTTTCCCGTTCTCTTTTCTCTTTTTTGGTTTGTTTTCTCGTTCTCTCTCTCTCTCGCTCTCTCTCGCTCGCTCTCTCCCTATCTTTCATTTTTTTGTTCTTCTCTCTTTCTTGCCTCCTGCGTCTCTCCCTCTCTTTTCTCTCTCCTCTTCTTCTTCTTCTTTTTCTTCTTCTTCTTCTACTCAGCCTCTCTTGCTCCCTCTCTCTCTTTCTCTAAAACTAAGGATGCCGTCTTTTCCCCCCCTATTGTTTTCTGAACTTGCTGATCGGTACAAATTTCTGCTGGTCGCTCGGCCACAGCAAAAACCGCCGCGCAAGAGCTACAAAGCCAACAGGGCCCAGAAGCCCCTCTCCATTCTTGCCTGCTTTTCCTCCCGTCCTTGGTCCCACACACAGTAAGGCTTAAAGCCACACTTTGAACCTAGAAATGGCTGTTGATCCTCATCTCTTCCTTTTTGGGTACATATTCAACTTGTTTGCTCCCTATGCTCCAAAACGAATGACACGACCAAAAAAACAGAGACAGAACTGGGCCACAACAGCACAAAGAACATGGGCAATCGTCCAGCCTGCAAGCGAGACTCGAAGGTCTGGCACGATTTAACACAGAGGTATGAACAGACGCATGCCAGCGATCGTGCTTCCCGGAGAAGCTTCCGATTTTGAGAGGCCTCGTTCGCGAAAAAGTCGATGAACTGATACCTGAATGAATGAAAATGCAGGCACTTGAGGTCACCTTCAGGCGCTCAGATATGTTTAGATCATCCAGATCCCTCAGGCAACTGCAAGATGGTGCCCAGCACGATACCTTGAAACGTCAGGAATCGATTCAATGTCAAGCTGTCAAAATCATTGAAGTCGAACGTGACACGTGACTCCATGAAGCCCCATCCTGCCACAATCCCGCCTATCATCACTGCGACGGAGCTGATGGAGACAAAAAAGGCACGGTAGTTGTCCCCACCAATCTCAGACGGCATGTCGGTATGTGAACCATGGTCACCCATTTTCACCCTGCAAAATCGTTCAGTTCATGACCATGCTGCTTCAAAGCCCGGGACACAATTGTTGAGCCACATGCAGTGATGATCGAAAGACGCCACACACTTGTTGCAGGCTCGACCTTGCTCTCTTCTGCTTTCAGAACCAGCTTCGTGAATTGCATAAAGAAAGATTAGCCTCCGGCAATGTTTGCTGCGCGCCTGCACTGTGGTAGCACACCTAGGCTGCTTGTGGAGCACAAGTTACACAAGTTGACCGCGCGATCTACACAACTCGGGCCAGGGCAATCCACAATATGGCAGCTCCTCAAGCTCCTGCCAGGAGAGAGCATCGCTCTGACACCGTCCGCCGCGTGTGCCGAGCGCTTAGGCTGTGCAGCGGCCTCGTCTTTGAACTCGGCTTCCTGTCCGAACAAGCCGACTCAATGTCACAGAGGCTTGAGTTGGATGAAGATTCTGAAAAAAGACCGAGCAACCTTCTTGAAAATTGCCCCAGCAAACAAACGGCGCCACGGCCCAACTTAGGCCCAGCAAACGGGCCTGTATGTATTCCCCTGTGGTTGTATCAGACAAGTACACTCACAAGGAGTCGTCATCAAGACATGGGTCCATAAGAAGGCACCAGGAACCAGCGAGCATGACAGATGCATTGCTTCAACGGACCAGACACATGTTGAAGATAACGGATGGATAGATGCCAGGCCCGCTTGAGAATATCAATGTGTTGTCCACTCCCGCCACAGACCCCTCGGGGCCAAAGAAACTCGCTAGGTGCCCCTGAGGACACTTGTACACTCTTGTACACTCTGTTCATCTCTTCCCGTCTTTTGCTATTTCCTTCCCATATGGCATTTTTTCTCAACTCCGATCCTGAACTCCATGACAAAGCTTCCGCGGGCTGTGCGGCATTGGAATTCTATTCTGAATCGACCAACCTGAGACTCGGTTGCAATGCTGAGGGCCATGCATCCCGAAGTACGAAGGGGTCCATGGGGTTGCACTTGGTCGCAAGGAAAGTCGAGACGACCAAAAAGCCCACGCTGATCAGGAAGCAGCTAGTCACGAGGACCTCCAATAGAACGAATGTTGCACCCTCTTTACTGTGTTCGACCAAACCCTGCGAAAACCGTCTAGCGGGTTCCAGGGAGAAAGATTTGAAGGGCCTTTAAGGCAAGAGGCAAAAGCCCATTTTGAGAAAGACAAGCCCCAAAAACCTTGACTTCAAAGAGGAGCTCGCCTGACCCCGAAATGTCCCTGGACCCTCTTCCAGCCAGCAAGCATGTCTTTGAAAAGGAGCTGCTACACAAACGCTGCAACATTTCTTTGCAACATGAAGCAGCTGATCAAGATGACTCACAAACAGCTGGACCTGTCCCAGCACCGTTTCAATCATGGGAATGCAAAGTACCAGGTACCTCAAGGCGAACGCAGAAGTTGCTTCGCCTGGCTGCCCCGGCAGTGCAGACCGTCTCTGAGGCTGGTGCACAACGAAATCGGTTCCAAACACAACCCAGCTGACCACCTGGCGCTCGATGCATGGGCTGAGGCAAAACACAACCTTCAGCCGCACGATACCCCTTTTCATTTGTAAGAAGCCCTGTGCGCGTCTCACCTGCAGCGGGTGCAGCGGCCAACGGAAGCCATGGATTCGCACATCCTCAGAGTCAGATGACGTGGAAGCCGCATGGAAGCTTCAAGAGATAGAAAGAATCGCCGCATGTCGCCACCCGCTAAATTCGCTAAGTCAGGTGTAGATTTAGCCTTTGCGACCCGTTTGCCTTGCACTGAAACTTGAGAGGTTGCTTCACGCTCAATGTCGCCTGGTCTTGCCGAGTTATGGCAGCCCGATAATCAGATTCCCCTATCTTGAGCGCGCGCTCCCAAGCAAAGCTTCGAAGCAGAGCCTACACAACTAGAGGCTGTCTTAAAGGATAGACATCGTTGTCCTCCACGTTTTCAGTCATGACGGCTTGTCACCTAGGCTGATGTGCACACAGCTCATCGCATCCGGATTTGTCATCTTCATCTGAGTGTGTGGCAAGCTGAAGCGAAGGCATTCTGCTGCAGCCATTGCTGGCTGGGAAAATTCAGCACATGTAGTTGAATCCTTCTGAAACTAGCTAGTCCTGCGAGCCGGCCTGACTCCGGTAACATGAGTGCTGGGCTTCAGGTCTTAAGTGCATAGGTCTGATTCATTCAGGGCCAAGCTACGAGCCAGCAGGAGTTGATCGATTGGAAGATGCCACCAGCAGCCACTATGCAAGAAGTCGGAATGTCATAAGCAACGACCTCATCTACGAAGTGTTCCGAAGCTTTCGAGACCAGGCTAGGAACAAGAAAAGAAGAGAAAAGGGGACACTTTGTTGCAGAAGAATCTCCAACATCCTACAGAAGTCGGCTTCCCCCTTTTTGGCGGCTACACAGGGTAGCCACGGCTTCCCAGTGCCGGCGGAGGCGTCTCGGTGACGGAAGGGAGTTTTGAGGGTGTGCAAGACATGGCAGACTGAGGTGGGGGCTGTCAAGGACCTCCTTGAAGCAGATCCTTCGGGAAGCCCGAGGAAACATTGGTAGCAGCCCCCCCCCCCAAACCAAGCCACTGCGCCTCTTTCATGCGATGCGCTTGGAGAAACAGTACTCCTCCACACCATGCCAGGCATACAAAGCATGGCGTGCCGAATCTTCCACACAGACACACACTTTCTGGCATCATATGCAAAGCACCTGTGCACGGCTAGATTCGCAGGGCTAGATTCTCTACCGAACAACACACTGTCCTTCCCGCACTGGCATACCCAGCATCCGGTGGAGCATTGTCTTCGTCGGAGCCTGCATCAATGTCACTCTCTGAGATCTCCGCCTCTGCTTCACCAACCAGGAACTCAGCAAGAGTCGCTACCAACCGCCTTCTTCACTGAAGTCCCACTTCTCTCCGAGTGGCACCACCTAGTTCCAGGGAAGCGTGCAGCCATGGTGGTACCATGTCGCTGTGTAAGTTGCAAACGTTCTTGATGCCAACCCAACCAGAGATGTCCTGATCGTTGAGGTCCTTTCCCATTACCTGCTGCAGGGAACACGTGCATTCGTGCTGTGCATCAAATGGATCCACTCCTTGGCGAAGTTCCCGGATAATCTCATCTGTTGCACACCTCAGACTGAGGAAATTTGAACAGCATTTCTACTCGCCGCAACAAGCAGTCCCGCATTGGGTCATGAACATGTCTCGGACTTGATCTCCCCGATCTCAGGAATGCTGTGGAGGTACAAGAAAAATTCTGTTGAAACACGTGGATACCAAGCCTCAATCACAAGGTGTATGCCTAAGCCTGCTGCGAGCGACCGGGCTTGCTCGTCGGGATGGTCGAAGACCCGAATGGTTGCATGCCCCTCGCGCTGCCGCAGCTGAACCTGGCAGGCAGATCGGGCAGATCGGGCAGCAAATTCTTTAGAAAGCAGGAGCTTCGAACAAGCGCAGGCGAAATGGGACGAGTATCATTCGAGATCCTGCTCTCCCACTGCCAGGACCAATGCATGATTGAAAAGTATGCCTACAAAATGATCGCAAGCACCAGAGCAAACCGGTAACAAGATTCCAGCCCAAACGCGGCAAAGAGCGCAACCAAGCTCAAATATATCGCAAACATGGGGGGGGGTGGAGAAGACAAGACATAGCTTCCGCGTGTCGTAGTTGCTGGTGCCTTCGTTCACCTCCCGAAGAATCAATGTTGGAAGTGGGCTTGCCGCTTCTACTTGCTTCTTCTGCTGCTTTTGCCGTCATCATCGGCAGCCTCCACGGAGAAAACGATAATCGAAGCAAACAATTCATGTCCTCTGTGTCTTCGAAGCATATGCTACCACACATCATTCGTGTGTCTACAATGGTCTTGCACATTGCTCGGGCAAGCTATGGGCAAGCTACATCCTGGCGGCATGCTATTTTCGTGGCTTCGCTACTGAAACTTGTTGAAAACCTTCCTGGAAAGACACAGTACCGCCGTGCACTGCTAGGGCATTTCGCTTGCTGCCACGGAGAGCCCATGCAGGTGTGCTGAGTGCAGCCTCGAACCCTCGCTTGTGCTGACGTTCCGCGGGCAACGCTGAAATGAAGCCTGGCATCTTGTAAACCCGTGCCCCACATCCGACGAAGCTGCCACGGAAACAACGATGGGGTCTAAAACTTGACTCCGGACTGGAGAGTGGTGGCTCTATGTATTCAACACTCATACACTGTCGGAGCCATCATCTCATCACATCTCATCCCTTCCAGAACATGTTCGAAGCCCTGCGGGAGAAGGATCCTTGATCCGGTTGGACGGGGTGCCCGCGTAGCAATTAAAGCCTCGGGCCCAACGTGCATCGAGCACTCTCGCCGCAAGTGCCCCTCAACTTGAAATACAGACATGCGGCTCTGCACGTCTGCCTGAATAGGTGAGGGCCGAGGCGGGGCCGTGCAGCGCAAGTAATGCAGGCTGCATCAGAACCAACAAAATGCCGACAACGCTACTAGAAATCACCCCCCCCTCCCGTTGCCCAAGCCCCAGAATAGCATCACTACGGTCTTGTGGCCTCTCTGCCAGCCGGAAAGACATGATACAGCAGCGCAGCACGAACACCTTTGCACCACAGCTTGGATCATGGCAAACAAGCGCACCGCTCAACAGCCTCCTTCTAGCTGTCCTCTGTGACTCGTCATGTCGTGCACCTATATTGTCCTGACTAAACAGCATGTGCCTCTTCCGCCTGGCGGCTCGCACGTCACTCCAAGCGTGAATGCAAAAGTCTTGTCATAATGGCAAGTTCAAGGCTACAGTAGTGCTCTTGACGGCTTCTTATGTCTCAGAGCTCGACCGATTTCGGCATACGGATCCCACTGTTGCAGGTCACAAAGACGGGATCGCCTTAGCTACAAAGGCACGGGTCCTGCAATATCATGGCCGCCATGCCATCCTGTGCCGCAACATGTAGCCCTTGCCGGATGACAGAATTCGCCAGAGCTTCAGTTGACTAGAACAGAGCAGGAAAATCTAGCTAACCCGACACGAACAACTTGAAACAAAGAATGAGATGCGCAGGCAGATCCGCCAAGACCCACATCCCGGAATAGTATTCTTCAAACATTGTCAAGCCGACTTTCACAGCTGAGGTGAAAGCCCCCACTCATCACCAGCAACGCCGCGCCTTGCTCAAGGGCCCATGCCGATCTCACTCCCACATCTTGAGGAGCATATGGCATATCATCGCTCCAATGCATGCAACAAGTCTGCACCTGATGGAAACAAACTAATGAAAATACACATTCCTCGTCTTTCGCCAAAGGCTGTAGCCAACCATACAGAGCACCAGCCATCTGCCTGCACGAAACATATCCAATCTAGACTCTGATGTTGAGTCGAACCTTCTTCTGAGAAGTCTGCCCCGCAACTGCACCAGTTGTATCCGCCTGACCAGGGCACCACAGGCCATGCTTTTCCATCAATTCTCACAACATAATGTAGCCGGAACCACATCCCCGAGCAGGTTCACGACACGGAGAATGCAGCTGGAGAAGCCTTAGTAAAGGCTCTCAGAGCCTGCACTATGCGATTCTCGGGAAGTCACATCGACGTTGGCTCAACATGCAGTGCCCTGGGATGATTCAAGGATGATACTCTTTTGGGCGGGCACTGGACTCGACTGCTCTTGTGGCACCGTCCTCTGACATCCTGTCCAAAACTATGGGGAAGGCATCTTGCCATCCCATAGGTACTTTGTTCTGGCCTAATGCCACACCCTTCACAAGAACTATTGGATTCTGCCGAAGCACTCGAGGAGTTACTTCACTACGCGGAACTCGAACTGGACCTTAGCCATCCGATGTCGGGCCTAGTCCTGGGCCTGGGCCTACACAGTGGAGATGCGATGTTGCAGTCCTCACAACCGTGTGCCTCAGCGACTGTGGCTGTGTCACCGTTTTCGCTGCACTCCATCCATCCATCCGGATCTGACAGGTCGACGTTCCTGAGCAGGTCATGTGCAAGGTCGTGCAAGGTCAGAAGCCTACAGCGCAAAAGCGGAAAGACATGGAAAAACAGCCTGCGTAATCAGACTGGGATGCTCAAACTTTCCCCAACTCGTCTCGACAGTAACTCCCAGAGGGTACCACTTCACCGGCTCAGCTCCTCGACAGTCGAAGACAGCCACCTCAAACACAGCCAGCGCAGCAAAATGCACACACTGTGTGTGCTTGAACAGTAAGTTAAGCAAAAACTTGCTAGCGAGAGCGCAAAAAAGCCTCCCCAGGCCACGAAATCTAGACAATGCCTTTTCGTCGTGTGCAAGGGCAAAGCCTACGCAGGCTGTAAACAAGAAGTTATGTGGGAGCCATACAGGTTCCGTGTCGCGTGTCAGTACCCCTCCCTCCCTCTGCAATGGTATCCCATCCCCTGCGCCCGCCCCACCCCTCAACCCTAAACCCTCACGCAAACCCTCTTACTAAAACCCAGGCCCTAAGCCCTAAACCCTACAACCCTGACACCCTGAAACCCTGAAACCCTGAAACCCTGAAATTCTAAGAACTGCAACCCTAAACAAACCCGTAAAACCCTTGAAACCCTAGTCAAAACCTTGAAAATCCTAAACCCTGAACCCTAAAGCCCTAAACCTTCAAACCCGAAAACCCTAAAAACCTTAAAACCCTAAACTCAAAACCTAAACCCTAAACACCCCCCCTCTTACACAGACCACGCAGGCGGCCAGACCATGACAGGGGGCCTCGCCGAAAGGGGGGTGGGGGGAGGGGCTGCGTCTAAACTTAACTCTTGTCAAACCAACCAGATTAAGCTTTGCGGGCTTTGTGACCCACCAAGAGAATTTGTAAACCACAACGACGCAAAGCTCTAAGGAGCTAGCTTTCGTGACCACACCTGAGGGACGGGAGTAGTAGCCCAAGGCAAAACGTTCACAAGCCTGGTTTCGCACGAGCCGCAGCCGGGGGGTAGACCCTTGCACTAAGTGTGTTTCCAATTCAGTGAAAGCAATGCAGAACAGCACTCCTCTTGCACACGAAAATCAAAAGTCGGCGTAACTTCCTGTAAAAGCACTCAACAATGCTCAAGCAGCCCACAGCTTCCCGAAAAAACAGTGCTGTGACGCATTGTGACGCAAAACGCAAAAACCGAGGCTGAGCTGCTGCATGCTGCTGCCATCTGCTGTCCAACCGTTTCTTAGGACCGTCAATGATGTAGAAACGGCAACCGAAATAGAAACTGAAACAGGCGAGAAGCCGGCTGCATAGTGCCTCCCTCTGAGTACTCTCCTAGGGTCTTGTCCTTCACATCTTTATCCTTTATTGGAGTAGATCTGGAGGGCGTCATTACCTCAGCCGGTCTTATCCAATCCGCAACTGGCTGATCAATACCTGTCATGTTTGCTTTGCTAAGTCTGGCGCGCTGATTGATGAGGGAGCCTGTGCGATTCATCAACACTCTGTCGGGCAATCCTCCGAGCTCTCCCAAAGGTGATATCAATAAACGACTACTGAAAGAGAACTCAGATTGGTGCTTACCCGACACAGCTTGAGCCTTGGCACCCTCCCACTTGATCAAGAAATTGGCTGTCCCTTTGCTGTTGGGAATCTCCTCCTGCACACGACACACATGGGGTGCAACTGGATGCATTTCTCCAGTGTCCTCATTGGTTGGGTCAATGGTGACCCCTTCCCTGACTTCCTTGGAATCTGGACGAACGACTCCATCTAGGTCTGCGACAAGCCAACTTCCAACAGTCTGGACGACTTGCTGCACGCTAGGGGTCCGTTCCACCAGATTGCTGAACGTCCAGCTTCCAGGTTTCATCATTCGGGAAGACCAATCGTTCTACTCCCTGAGCGCCACAGAGACAGGATGTCACAGTACCCTGACGTTCACACTGGCCAAGCCTCCATCTCAGCTTTCACAAACATTGCTATTAACGGCATGGCTATGGTATCGTCTTCCAGCAGTGCACCTGCTGAAGGAGCTTGAACCGATCTCAATGCACAGCATGGTGGGTGAGGATCAAAATAGAACATGCGGGCCACACAAAGATTGCCAGGCACAACCTTTGTTCTCTCGCGTGCGCGCACTGCATGATCGCGGCAAAACTAGTCCCGTCCACTCAGGCCCACATCTTCTATGTTGATACTCAATCCCAGTAAAGCGGCCACCTCACAGAGAACATCCAGAATGGATCAGAACAGGTGCTCTGCAGAATCGAGCAATAAGCAACTGACGCCAAAAACCATGAGGTTTGCTCCTGCATGTGAGCACATGTGAAACGTAAGATGCCAGCTGCCCAACACAAAACATACTCCCTCGTGAACCGGCGCAAAAGCTCCTGTCATAAAGGACACTCGCTTCCCCGTGTTCTCCAGGTCCATGGCCATCCAGCTCTCCACTGCACAGGCCGCGATGCCTCTGCATCAAGATGTGAAATTCAAACACTCCGAAAGTGCGGTCAAAAAATGCCACCAGAAGCATTGTCACGTGAAGTCGTGCGGTGTCAGCTCTGATTTGTAAGAAAGTCAGCAAACGGGGGCTCCCCAAAAAGCGTGGGGCAGCTCTGACAGGCTTCGCACAAGGGTGAGCGGCACGTGCCAAAAAACGTTTTGGAAGGCCATGTTTGTGCTGTGTTCCTGTTCTTGTTCTTCCCTTACTATGTATTCTATTCGTCTATGCTCCTGTGACGAGGACGACGAGGAAGTACTTGGTGAGCGACACGTCGATGCCACCTTTTGCGAGATCTCAAAGCGTGATGTGCAGCGCGCACTCTTGTGATCTCTTTGCACCAGAAGAAAAACCCCAGATAACCCAAGAGATGCTGAGAACGCCGGAACACTTCCCAGCTTTAGCTTCGGATGCCGCAGCTTCAGCCCCTTCATGAGGCCATACACGCTGACCAGCGCACCCAGACAGCCCCAGCCGAGGCTTACACATAGCCCATACCAGCCTGCACAGCATGGCAAAATCGGGCGAGGGGCCTGCAGGAATTAGCAAACTCTAGTTAAAAAGATGTTTGTACACGTGGAAGATTCTAACTTTCAGCTGCGGCACCATGGGCATAGACCTCATTCTTGGGAGCTTACAACTGCGCTCCCGTTAGGGCTTCAAAGCAGCTTGCACTGCCAGACAATGCCAGACAGATGATACTGTCCGGACGCTGTGGCTGCAGATTGGCGGCGGATCCAGGCACAGCAGCCAGGACCAACAAACCAAAAAGGTTTCGGGTTACCACAAGGGTCTCGACCATGGCGCCGTCTCGGCTTGTGGCTTGTCTTGGCTGTATGGTGGAGTGGGAGCTAGTTGCGCCGTCCGGTTCAAAAATTGACACCTGGATAGGACATGTTCACATTAGCTGCGTTAGGATACTTTTTGGACGCCAGAAGAAATCTTCGAGCACACTATGTGATGCTGTGGCAGCTATCTTTGAGCCGACTCAGCAGTCCATGCTTGCAGCACGAAGATCTAAGAACGAAACTCTCCAAACTTTGCCTAAAGGCCCAGGGTGAACCGGTTTGGCCTCGAAGCGGCTAGAACCCGTGTGCTCATGCTCCCGCTTCCACCAGTTTACAAAGTTACGGCCATTTCCGGGCTGGAACGACTTCAGTACCAAACACGCGATACATTCATCGAAGTGTGGGCCGCAAGGGGCCGCTGCCACTTGAAGCATAGCAATGAATGCAAGACTCCGAAGAAGATTTCCCTGTCTATGGCAAGCCGGAGTGCTGGGTTGAAGTCTGAGATGTTCCGTTTATACGTTGCATTCCCCGACATGATGCACCTCACCATGAAAGATAAGGCCGGGGTCAAGATAGGTTCCAGACTGTTGGTATGCCACAGAGCCCACAATGCCATTGCCAGGCCGTCCATACCTCATCGAGTCCCATGATGGCAATGCAAGTGCGCTTAGGCTTGCAGCAACCGAAGCCACGGCAATAAGCGCCCCAGTACGTGTCGATGATAGGGTGCCCGTTGTACCTCAGCTAAGCCGAGGCCGTCCCGAGCAACCAAGAAAATCAATAAAGACTGCACAAAGCGCTCTGATCTGCAAGGGCACCTCCGGTCTTTCCAGCGCTCCCGCATGGCCTGATGAAATTATTTCGATCTGCCACGTCTGGGCAGGAAAGGCGGTGCACCTCCCATATTTGCAGCTCCGTCGACTTCCAATCCCAGCAAGCTTCCTGCAGGCACAGGGGCCGCTCTTGAACCCAAGAAAACCCAAGCCCATCTTTGCCCATCTTAGCCCCCCCCCCCCCCCCATGCGCTGCCTTCGGGCTCGGCGGGCTGCAGGTCAGCAGAGCTCGGATTCGAGCCACCCCATCGGCTCTGCCACAACCTGAGAACTTCAGCCAGGCTGTCTGAGATCACAAGCGAGACCGTCAAGCCTCGCACCCGCCATGTTCCTAAAGGCTGCCAGGTCCTGCTCCAACGTTTTTTCGACCAGGTTGTGCTGTGCCCACGAATCGGAGGTGACGACATCTGCCTGGAAGCCACTTGCTAGGAAGTCGTCGATGGCTGCGGTCAGAAAACCTTGGGGCTCCTCGGTCCAAAAGACTGGCGTGACTGGCGTGACTGGCCATACCAACTTTGATAGTTGGGAGCCTGGCAGGCGCACGTGAAAGTCCTTGACAATGCAGGCGAATCGCCTTGGCTTCGCAGCACAAAACTCACAGTACCAGACTGTACCAGATGCAAACACTTTGGTCCATGCGGGGGCCTTGGCGATGAAGAATGCCATGAATGCACAGCAGGCCGCCGCGTCACAACTCGGATGCCTGCATGGGTCTACAGGGCAGCTTGGCGGCACCAGCGCAATACATAGTGATCAGTGCAGTGCTGATGTCTCAAACTGGACTTTCATTCCAAACACCACCTATCCTTATGCAGGCCACGACACGTTGCACGACTTTGCAAGATAGCCTTTTCCATGGCCTGGAAAGTTTAATGGATGTGAATGTCGATCGCTCGGGTTAAATACTGCAGGCAGCCTGCCTCCACAGGATTCAGGTGATATGCTATTGCGACCTTCACATGGAGAGAGAGGGAGGGCGGGAGAGAGAGAGAGAGAGGGAGATATTGTGAGAGAGAGAGAGGGAAGAGGGAAGAGGGAAGAGGGAAGAGGAAAGAGGAAGAGGGAAGAGGGAGAGGGGGAGAGGTAGAGAAAGATGCTGACCGGAGCCAGGCGCATGATGGAGCCATTGCCTGCTGCCGGCAAGGCAAATCAGCCATGGGATGATAAAACAGTGCAAGCACAAAAGACATGCACCAATTGCCTGCATCATTGGTGACCGAGCCATATATTGGAGGCACTGCGTGCAAGCCACCGCGACCAGCTAGCCGCTCTACCTCTGCCTGAAAGGAAAGACGACATGAATTCGTTTGGTGTTCACTTTGCTCCCTCTTTTGCATTCAGTTCTAGGAAAACGGCGAGAGACTTCGAAACGTTTCCGCCCAAGCCGACTGACCTGTGCAGCTTAGAAGGCGCAGCTCCCGGGATGACAGAAGACCAGTTGGTCATCGGTAGTGGTCTCAGAAGCTTGTATCTCGATATCAACCAGGAACTTGCAGTTACCTTCTCCGCGTTAAGGTCGTTACAAACACCGTAAACCCGAAACCCTGGACCCTAAACGAGAAGGCCCTCCCTAAACCCTAAACTTAAACAAGGAGGCCCTACGTATAATCTTTGGCGTTGGTGAATTGTTTGTATGAAACGAAACTGAGTGGTATTGGAGATGAATATATGTACATAGATGTTTTCATTTAACGGCGTATTGAGAATTCGTGAAACTAATTGCACGTAGTCGGGAATTAGTTGAACTAATGGGACTAGTTGCATGAAATCAATCTACACAAGTACCTCGTATGATTTACGCATCACGAACCCACAATGAATCAAATCAACTTCTAAATGAATTTTAAACAACGTGGTTACAAACCAAAACATTCATTCTAGGTTCGTGAAAGCTGTGTTGACTTCAATTAAAAACATCAATAAGCTAATTCCGTCCACATTAAATACAAAATGTCGTGCAATGAGTTCTCAAAAACCAACATGTTTCTACAAAATCGGACAAATGATCTAGGGACCCGTAGAACCCCCAAAGCCTAAAGCCCTAAACCCAAGTAACCCTAAAGCCGGAAACCCCAAAGCCGCACCAAACCCGAACCCCTAAGCCCTTAGCCCCAAACCCTATCAACCCTAAACCAAAAAGCTCAGAATCCCAAACCCTAAACACAAAAGCCGTAAACGCTAAACGTCAAACCTTTGATAACCTTTGGACCGACCCTAAACCCGAAAGCCCTAAACCCAAGCCCCAGCGCCTCAACCCCAGACCCTGAGCACTCCACCCTACATCCCGAAACCCGAAACTGCGAAGTCCCTAAGCCCGAAACCCAACCCTAAAGCCCTAAACTAAACCTCAACCCCTGAGCCCTAAACCCTAAACCCCCCCGAAACCACCCCATAAAACCCACACGCGCGCTGGACGGGGGAAGCAAAAAGATGCGCATTGGACTGGGAGGTGGATGTGAACTGGACCCCCCGAAAGCCTTCCACAGGGCATGTCATTCAATCGAACCCCAAGCCCCCTGTTGCTTTTCCACCCCCCTATAGAACCGATCTTTCAAGGTATGATTAGGGAACAACGTAATTACTTAATCAGACATCGTCCATTTCCTCTGCACTGAACTCGGCAAGCCCCTACTGCATTTTGAAATATCAATGTCCACTCCAGACAGTTCGGTGCCCTCAGAATTTGCTGTTGGCAATGCGGACGCTGTGATTTTTAAAGTCTGGGTTTGAGGGCTCCAAGCTCATGTTTACTATCCGATACCTGAATATGGACCTTGTGTGGGGATCCAACTTGTCTAAACTATAATGAGCACAAGAAAAGGACAACATGTACAGATGCAACCCAGACCTCCGAAATGACTGGTTCCTCCTAGGAAGAACCCTTATAAACCCGAAACCCTAGACACTACACCCTAGTCGCAAAACCCTAAACCGTACACCCGAAACCCTAAACCCTAAACAAGAAGGCCCTCAACTCTAAACCCTAAACTTAAACAAGAAGGCTCTACGAATAATCTTTGGCGTTGCTGAATTGTATGTAGTAAAAGAAATTGAGTGGGCATTGGATAAATATTTATAGATGTGCTTTTCTCATTTAATTATGTATGGATGCTTGATGAAACTAATTGTACGCAGTCGGGAATTAGTTGAACTAATGGGACTAGTTGCATGAAATCAATCTACACAAGTACCTCGTATGATTTACGCATCACGAACCCACAATGAATCAAATCAACTTCTAAATGAATTTTAAACAACGTGGTTACAAACCAAAACATTCATTCTAGGTTCGTGAAAGCTGTGTTGACTTCAATTAAAAACATCAATAAGCTAATTCCGTCCACATTAAATACAAAATGTCGTGCAATGAGTTCTCAAAAACCAACATGTTTCTACAAAATCGGACAAATGATCTAGGGACCCGTAGAACCCCCAAAGCCTAAAGCCCTAAACCCAAGTAACCCTAAAGCCGGAAACCCCAAAGCCGCACCAAACCCGAACCCCTAAGCCCTTAGCCCCAAACACCATCAACCCTAAACCAAAAAGCTCAGAATCCCAAACCCTAAACACAAAAGCCCTAAACCCAAAGCCTCAAATCTTTGAAACCCAAGCCCCAGCGCCTCAGCCCCAGACACTGAGCCCTCCACCCTACATCCCGAAACAGAAACTGCGATGCCCTAAACTCTAAACCCCAAAGCCTTAAGCCCTGAACCCTAAACCCTAAACTAGACCCGAAACCACCCCCACCATGCACGCTGGACGGGGGAGCCCAAAAGATGCGCACTGGACTGGGAGGCGGGTGGATGTGAACTGGACCCCCCGAATTTCCATTCCTCATAAAGGTTTGATTGGATAACGGCTTGAGCAGAAATCACCCATTTCATCTGCACCTAACCCGGAAACCCCCACTTCCTGTATTTTGAGAGGTCAATGTCCAGACAAATCTGTGCCCTCAGACTCTTTTGGCAATGTGGAAGCTGTTACTTTTAAAGTTTGGGTTTCAGGGCTTCAAGCCCATGTTTTCTTGGGTAATGCAGCTGGGCGGGCAGGGCCTGGGAGCATGGGTCTCAGGGTCCCGAACCAGCTCAACTCGGAGTTCTGAGAGCGCGGTCTACAAGTGAAAATCTTCGAGCCCCACGCTCATCCCCCCCCCCCCCCGTCTTACAGGAGTCGGCAAA